AACAATAATAACAATAACAATAATAATAATAAAGTTGGAAGGAACCTTGGAGGTCATCTAGTCCAACCCCCCTGCTCAGGCAGGAAACGCTACACCATTTCGGATAAATGGCTGTCCAGTCTCTTCTTGAGCCGAGGTGGCACAGCAGTGAGAGTGCAGTACTGCAGGCCACTTTAGCTGACTGTGTTCAGCAGGTCAGCGGTTCAAATCTCACCGGCTCAAGGTTGACTCAGCCTTCCATCCTTCCGGGGTAGGTAAAATGAGGACCCAGATTGTTGGGGGCAATGTAAATATATATATACATTGCTTACTGGTGTACACCGCTTAGAGAGTGCTTGCACTTAAAGCGGTATATAAGTCTCATAAATAAATAAATAAATAAATAAATAAATTCTTAAAAACTTCCAGTGTTGGAGTATTCACCCATTCTGGAGGCAAGGAGTTCCACTGGTTAATTGCTCTAACTGTCAGGAAGTTTCTCCTTAGTTCTAGGTTGTTTCTCTCCTTAATTAGTTTCCATCCATTGCTTTTTGTCCTGCCTTCAGGTGCTTTGGAGAATGGCTTGACTCCCTCTTCTTTGGGGCAGCCCCTGAGATACTGGAAGACTGCTATCATGTCCCCCCCTCGTCCTTCTCGTTGTTAAACTAGACATACCCAATTCCAGCAACCGTTCCTCACATGTTTTAGCCTCCAGTCCCCTAATCATCTTTGTTGCTCTTCTCTGTACTCTTTCTAGACCAGTGGTTCTCAACCTGTGGGTCGGGACCCCATTTGGGGTCGAACGACCATTTCACAGGGGTCGCCAAACAAGGCTGTCCGCCATTTTTTCCCCCTTTTCTTTGGCCACGCCCCTGGCACCCGGTGATGTATAAGTGGTTGGGTGTCACCACAACATGGGCAACTGTATTATGGGGTTGCGGCATTAGAAAGGTTGAGAACCACTGTTCTAGAGTCTCAGCATCTTTTTTACATTGTGGTGACCAAACCTGGATGCAGTATTCCAAATGTGGTCTTACCAAGGCCTTGTAAAGTGGTATTAACACTTCACGTGATCTTGGTTCTATCCCTCTGTTCATGCAGCCTAGCACTGTGTTGGCTTTTTTGGCAGCTGCAGCACACGGCTGGCTTATATTTAAGTGATTGTCCACTACGACTCCCAAGTCCCTCTTACAGTACACCACAGCTCAGGCAATGAAAATGCTGATATGTTAGGCTAGTTACAGAATAGAATAGAATAGAATAGAATAGAATAGAATAGAATAGAATAGAATAGAATAGAATAGAATAGAATAGAATATGGAATGGAGAATGGAATGGAATGGAACTGGAAGGGACCTTGGAGGTCTTCTAGTCCAGCTCCCCGCTCAAGCAGGAGAACCTATACACCATCTCAGACAAGTGACTGTCCAGCCTCCTCTTAAAAATCTCCAGTGATGGAGCGCCCATGATTTCTGGTGGCCAGCTGTTCCACTGGTTGATTGCCCTCACATCCCTTCCCTCCATGGAGTCCGCAGGAAGGAAATCTGGCCATTTTATTTTACAGCCCAGCATTTTCAAGGAAAGGCTGCTTAGGCCAATGAAGAGTTTTGCTCTCCCGGCCTGTCCCGCCCCCCCCCCCTTGCAGCAAAAAAAAAAAAAAAAAGTTTGCAAAAGAAACAACACAAAAGTTCAACAAAGTCATGGTTGGTTGGAAGGAAGGAAGGAAGGAAGGAAGGAAGGAAGGAAGGAAGGAAGGAAGGAAGGAAGGAAGGAAGGAAGGTTGGAGCTGCTGATCCACATTCTCCTTTTATAGCTAACACAATTAAAGGATAGTACAAAAGGAGAAATATTAAATGAAATTAAAACATCCTGCCCCTTTGCGTAGAAAATAAATTACAAGAATTAAAATTAAAAGCCCATGCTCCTTAGCAAGTACAGCAGGACCACAAAGTCCATGTTGTTGGTCCTCATTTCCTCCCTCTGATGCTATCAGAACTGTTTAGCAGGCAGACAGACAGATACGCATCATCCTGTGACGGATGTTTCAGACGACATCCGGAACATGAGTGGGCTACGTATACAAGGAGGCTCCAGCTCCTCGCATCTCTCGTCTCTGGCACGAAATGGAAGGAGAGAAAAACCAGTGGAACAGCTTGCTACCAGAAATCATGGGTGCTCCGTCACCGGAGGCTGTGAAGAAGAGATTGGACGGTCCGTTGTCTGAAATGGGATAGGTTCTCCTGCTTGAGCAGGGGGCTGGACTAGAAGCTGGCTGAGGAATTCTGGGAGCTGAAGTCCACAAGTCTTAAAGTTGTCAAAGTTGCAGACCCCTGATTTAGATTAAGTGTGCAGGTCTATCCATATGTTGTATATAGTGTGTTTAAATGTGTGTTATGTATGTGTACACCTCCAGAGCAAGCAACTAAATTTCATTTTTAATGTGGGCCATTGTGCCCAGTTAAAAAAATAGACAATAAAGGTTATCCATCTTTCAATTTGCTCAACGGAGAACTAACCCCACTCCTAACCAACACTCACGATGTTGGCTAGTTTGGATAACGAAACGTCTGCAAGAAGACAGCCAAGCTGAGGGACCACCCAGGGCCTTGAGCTGCAAAGATTCTCCTTTATTGGTAAAGAAACCAGATTGCTGGATTGGAAAGAGAGACTTTGACCTTTGCAAAGGGGCTTCTTTGCCCCCCCCAAATACGAACTCCTGAATAATAATAATAATAATAATAATAATAATACACCCCAGACTTAACAATTGTCGATAAGAAAGACAAAAAAGTCTGGATAGTGGACGTGGCAGTGCCTGGAGACGGCAGAATAGAAGAGAAAGAACTGGAGAAGATAACAAAATACAAAGACCTACAAATAGAAATAGAAAGACTGTGGCAAAAGCAAGCAAGGGTAGTACCAATAGTCATAGGCTCCTTGGGTGCAATCCCAAAACAAGTGGAGCACCACTTGAACACCATTGGCATTGACAAATTCGCTATTAGTCAATTGCAAAAGGTGGCCTTACTAGGAACTGCTTCCATCCTGCAACGATACTTGTAATACCATCAAACATCCACATCTGCCTATCCCAGGTCCTGGGTAAGGACTCGATAGGTAGACAAAATGCCAAATCCAGTCTGAACATCTGGCTGACTGTGCGATGATCCATAATAATGCTAGTACTAGTACTAATACTAAGGTTGGAAGGGACCTTGGAGGTCATCTAGTCCAACCCCCTGCTCAGGCAGGAAACCCTATACCATTTCAGACCAATGGCTGTCCAGTCTCTTCTTTAAAACTTCCTATCTTGGAGCATTCATCACTTCTGGAGGCAGGTGGTTCCACTGGTTAATTGTTCTAACTAATTCAGGCAAAACAAAAAGCATTTCTTAAGGCAGTGTAGGTTTGTGTGTGTGTGTGTGTGTGTGTGTGTGTGTGTGAAGTCCTTTTATGGGGTACACAGACAAAGGGTGCAGACAGAAGTGGCAAGCCATCAACCAAAGACCTTGATTGCAGGTGAAAATGGGAGAACCTTCCGTAAGGACTTTTCAGGATGCGCCCTCTGTTGTGTAGTTGCCAAAAAGGCAAGTGGTTACACTGCCTTCAGGAAAGGCAGGACAAGAAGCAACGGATGGAAACTCATCAAGGAGAGAAACAACCTAGAACTAAGGAGAAACTTCCTGACAGCTACAATGATTAACCAGTGGAACCACCTGCCTCCAGAACCAGTGAATGCTCCAACACTGGGAGTTTTTAAGAAGAGACTGGACAGCCATTGGTCTGCAATGGTCTAGGGCAGGGGTAGGGAACCTTGGCTCTTTTAGGACTCGTGGACTTCAACTCCCAGAATTCCTGAGCCAGCTGTGCTGGCTCAGGAATTCTGGGAGTTGAAGTCCACGAGTCCTAAAAGAGCCAAGGTTGCCTATCCCTGGTCTAGGGCTTCCTGCCTGAGCAGTGGGTTGGACTAGATGACCAGCAAGGTCCCTTCCAACTTGTATTATCATTATTCTTATAAAGGCTCTTGGTGCCCTAGCAAAGAAAAAGTCCCCACTTCTCTCCTTCAAACCTTGGTGGGTTTTTGAAGTTTGTTTTTAATTTCTGTAATTCTAATCCTTTTTTTTGCATTCACGGTTGTGAAAGATTTGCGTCTTTCTTGCTCAGTCGCCTTCAGCTGAGAGACGGGGCGGCAAAGGCATGTGATAAACAAAATGCCGAGAGACGGCCTTGGCTAAGAGGAGGAAAACAGGCTTTTTTAAAAGATAAAAAAGAGGCTATTAATAGGGCCAGGATCCCTTTTGAAAACTTCGAAACCTCAAATTCCAGGCTGTCTGTTGACCCCAACAGACGGCATTCAGGCTGAACCCAGCCAAGGCCTGCCCCACACATGGCCCTGGAGGCTCCAGACGAGGAACTGACCTTGGACCCACGGAAAGAGCTCCTCCCTCCAGGACAGCTCTCCCCACATGGCCCAGCCAAAGACAGGGATGGTCCTGACCCCCCCCGTCCCCCACCTCTTGACTGCCTTCCATGGCAGACTGAATGGGAAGCCTGGATCAAGAGCCTCCGGGATTCAGGACATCACCCCCATTTTGCAGAGAGAGGCTTCCAGACCACACTTTTCCAGCCCAGATCCCCTCTGGGGTTGTGTTTTGTGCTTCCGAGTGCAATTTGTGGGTCTGTGGGCTCCTTTTAAAGCCCTCTGTGGCCAAGATGTCTACAGGGAATCCCCTTCCCTAAACTGTGTCTGTCCACCCCAGCCAGCCACTAAAGGTCCCCCCCTCCCCTTAGGGGCAGTTGAAGGTCTCTGTGGGGCTCCCCCACCCCTGGGAAACTCCCCCCCATTGGCCCCACTTCAAGGGCTGCCAAAAATACCCCTTTCCCAGAGGACCTTTGGGGGGGGGTCGAGCCTACCTTTAAAAAATATTGTCATGGAAGCTTTCAAAGGTCGCCTTAAAAACTTATTCAAGATGTACGTAAATAGCCCAGCGTCCGTGAGGACCAAGGTGTAATGGCACAAATAAAAGATAAACATGTTGCTTTTTTAATAAGAAACTTGGAGTAACATTGGAGTAGAATTTAGAATCACATAAATGTAGAATAACATGCAGGTATTAAGATGTCGTTTTTATTGATTATAAAAGTACTGAGGCAGGGATTCTCATCCGTGGCACCCAGAAGACGCGTGGACACCCAAATTTTCTAGCCCAGAGGCCCTGGCCAGTCCAAGCCCCCCAGGCCATCGGCAGCCCAGAACTGCTTGGCAGCCCCCCAAGCAGCCTGGGCTGATCATGGCGACGTTATGGAAGGTAGGATATGGATGGGAGACCACCAAGAAACCCTGGCAGACTAGAGAGGGGAGTTGGAAGGACACCCCAGAGGACAGTGGGCAACATCTGGTCCTCTTGAAGGCATCAGGAGATTGGGCTGAGCATAGTGGGCTGTGCTGCAGCCCCACCTCTTGGGCTTCAAGTACACACACACACACACATGCGGGGAAAAAAGGCCCATGAGCAGGAATCAGGGAGGTGGGTAACGTGGGCCCGTGCCCTGGAGGTAGTCCCCAACGGAGACTAAAAATTAATGTTCTTAAGTGAGAAATTTGTTTTGCCCCATCTGACGATTTCTCGCCACACTTTAAGCGAATCGCTGCAGTTCTTAAATGGGTCACACAGTTGTTGAGGGAACTCTTGTTTCCCCAGTGACCTTGCTCGTCAGAGGGGTCGCAAAAGGGGACCAGGGGATTCCAGGACGACTGTCAAAAAGGTGAGTCATTCACCAAGGATCTGAATTTCAATCGCCTTGACCGAGGTCCCAAGTGTGCAAAATGGCCACGAGTCGCTTCTTTCAGTGTTGTGGTAACTTCTGATTACTGAATGAACTGTTTTAAGTTGAGATGGTCTATAGGGTTTCCTGCTTGAATGGGGGGGAGGGGGCTGGACTAGAAGACCTCCAAGGTCCCTTCCTGTTCTAATTCTATTCTATTTTCTATTCTCTTATAATCAGTAGCCGCGCCACCCAGATGAACTTGGACGTCCCTCACACTGAAGGCTGACTCCCTGCTGGCCCAGGTAGAAAAAAGGGTGGGCCCTCTCCCCAAAGAAGGCCCCCGTCCGGAAGGTGTAGAGGGGAGCCCCATTCTCTGCATCCAGGAACGCCACCTCTTCTGCCTTGTAGTCCAGCCGCACCCGCAGCATCCTCAGCGGCCTTGGCAAGCTGAGCTTCTCGTGAACCTTGGAGAAAGCGACCGTCTCCCCCTCCACACTCCTTCCCACGGCCCAGATTCCCTCCTGGGGGCTCAGCTGGAAGCTCCCCTTCCTGCGTACGGACTCTAGGGCCACCCCAACGGCCCAGACTGCTCTGCCACCCACTGGAGTGTTGCCTGCCTCCTGCACAGACACTTCCCAATAGTGCCAGCCTGCGGTGAATGCCTCGCAGCCCAGGGCGCACCATTCCTGGTCGAACCTCCCTGGCAGATCCGGGAGATTCTGGTTTTGGTTGGCCAAAGTCAGAGTGGTTCCCTGGCACCAGAGCCGCGGGTGGGCGGTTGAGCTGTCCAGCGTGACGTAGACTGAAGAGGAGGGAGAAGAGAAGCTCTTAGGTGGGCTGGGAACAGGGGAGGACAAGGCAGGGCAGGGAAGGGCAGGGCTGGCTCCCCGAGGCTAACCCAGCTCAGGAAGGACGGAGCGAGGGGCTGCTGCTTAACTTAACAAGTGCCTCACTCAGCAATGGAAATGCTGGGCTCAGTTGTGGTCGTAAGTTGAGGACCCCCTCCGTTCCTGCTTCTCCCGAGTTCCCACTATTGCTGGTTGTGGGTTTAGCGCTCTTCCAGAGCGATGGGACACGCCTGCCATCAGGGACCTCCCTGCCGTTGTCCCAGGCCCACATTTGGGTGGCTGCTTTGGGGCCTGCAGACCTCCCGCATCTGCTGGACCCCACCCTCAATGGAAAGCCACCCCCACTCCCACCCCCAGGGCTTTCCCACAGTGTGTTGTTACCTTTAGGCGCTGCTGGATTTTGTACATATTGTGCAACAGGTGCTGAGGAAGAAAGGGGGACAGGTGTTAAAATCAAGGTACTCTTCCTGAAGAAGCCCCCTCCCCCACTTCCTACAGGGCACAACTAAAAACTGAGCCACCATCCCCCCCCCATGGGACCTTCCATGTCCCTGAAAGACCTGCCCAGCCACCCTGCCCAGTGCCCTCAAGCGTGGCTCTTTTCTGGAAGGGCCAACACATGGCGGGGAAGGGACGGATCCATGTGGCGGCTGACAGACCCCTGCCCCCTCCCCCAGATGCTGCCCTTGGGGCCCCCCGACTCTGGGTATCCCTTGGGCCCTCCAACCTGCAGAGAAATCCACCCGACAGACGCCACTCCTGGCCATTTGGGGAAACTGCTGGTGTGGGGCCTGGCAAGCGCAAGCGGTTTGCATGCCTCCCCCCCCCCACTGCCCCCTTCCTCCCCAGCCCCATGAAGTTACCCGTGGGCAGAGGTCGCTCCAGCTTCTTCCTGGTCAGCGTCATGTCCAGGGAGGCTGAGATTTGGAGGAAAGGAAAAAATGAGAGCGAGGTGAGAAATGGCCGCCCGTAAGCAGAGGCGAACGTCTTGGTCCCTGCCAGGTGCACAGTGACACCCTCTCCCCCAAGGAACAAGGGTTGGGGGCGTGACAGATGGAGGAGGCAGTACCCCCCTTCACCTACCAGCCTGAGCAGGATGGGGACTGGCTCCCCCAAGATTCCACAGTAGGAAGGGAAGAAGAGGGGCCCAGACCCCACCAACCACACCTCCAAGGAGCCCCGCACCTTTGTAATTGTCCACAACCTGCCTTACAGGAGTGTTTTTCTGCAAGATGGTCCTGAGCCTGTCTTGCAGCCCGGGGGAGACGCTCTTCACACGCCCCACCACGTAACTCCGGCACCTGCGACACAAGGAGGGCGCCCTCACACAGCTACCCGGCTCTCCCCACAACACGTGTGACCTATGACTGTTTTCGCAGCTCCAGCTGTTGCAGCATCCCTCGTGGTCACATGATCAAAATTCAGACACTTGGCAACCAACGCATGTTTATGGCGGTCGCAGTGTCCCAAGGTCACGTGATCCCCTTTGTCCCACCTTCCGACAAGCAAAGTCAATGGGGAAGCCGGATTCACTTAACAACCATATTACTAACTTATCAACTGGGGCGATTCAACTGTCTCACTTAGCAGCAAAATTTTGGGCTCCACTGTGGCTGTAAGTCAAGGACCACCAGTGCTACCGTCTTCCCCTGTCAAGTGTTGCTGGGACGGTTGTCACCTTCTCAGTGGTTCCGTGATCAGGCTGTTGTTTACTGTTGGATTGTTTGTCTGTGTTGGTGGTTCCTAATCTGTGACACTTACGGCTTAAGGCTGGATCTGCAACCAAGCCGTAAACAGCACCCAAACTAAGGGCAGCCTATCTGCACGTAAAGAGAGAGCGAACCCCACTGCCTCCAAACACTGATGACGTTACCCAATCAGGTAATGAAACGTCTGCAAGGAATCGGTCGAGCCCAGAGAGCACCCAGGACCACACAACTAGCATCTCTCGGTAACAAAACTATCCTCGGGGATCCAGACGCACAAGGAATTTTGAAGACAAACTGACCCACAAGGACAGGGCAACATGGCGCCTTACCTGTCCACGGTGTCCTGGATATCCTGAAAGAGGAGAGCAGAGAAATGGGTCCCGGCCCTCGCAATAGTAGCCAGCGTCCCCCCCCCCCAGGGGAACCTCTGGTTCTCCCCCTCTTGAGGCCAGCGAGAGCCCCGCCCACCTGCAGGAATTCCCTGTCCGGCTGGCGGCACTTCCTGTCTATCTGGGCAATCAGCTGCTGCAGGCGGGAGGCCTCCCCGTTGAGCTGGGCCAGAGGGCCCACCCACTCAGCCTCCATCTTCTCCTCCTGCTCGGCCAGCCAGGCGAACCAGACCGACTTTCTCTCCCGGAGCAGCTCCTCCAAGGATCCCAGCGCCAGGCTGACCTTCTGCTTCTCAGTGGCTAATTGCTCCTGGGGGGGCAGAAGACGGGAACTCAGAGGGAGGGGGGAGAGTTCCCAGTTGCAGAACCAGCATCCCTGGAGCTGTCTCCTGTGCCCCCTCACCCCCCGACAGACCCACCTGACACTCCTGCCGGCTCTGCTCTTCTCTCCGCCTCTGCTCCAGCAGCTGCTTCTCCTCCTTCCTCAGGGGCTCCAGGAGGGCATCCAGCAAGTCCTGCGCGGGGAGGAGACGGTGCCATTGCCCAGTCCACGATGGCAGTGCTCCCACCCAGGGAGGCTGGCAAGGGGCCAGAGGGACCCCTGTGCTACACTCCAGGGGGAGGCCCTGCTGGGCACCAGAGCTTCCAGCAGAGAATCCGGCCAGGGAGAGGCTCGGGGCAGGCAGAGGCTCACGTGGAGGGAAGCAGCTGAGAGTCTGCCTGCCTCCGGTCTCCTCTCTCACTGCCGAAAAACAGCCTGGCTCTCCTCTGCCATTTTCGAGCGTTAGTCTTTGGGGGCCTTTAACTGCATCTACTTCTGCTTCATTGACTATGCTAAAGCCTTTGATTGTGTGGATCACAAAAATTGTGGCAAGTTCTTAAAGAGATGGGAATACCAGACCATCTTATTTGTCTCTTGAGAAACCTATATGCGGGTCAAGGAGCAACAGTGAGAACCGAACACGGAACCACGGATTGGTTCAAAATTGGAAAAGGAGTCCGGCAAGGCTGTATACTGTTGCCTTACCTATTTAACTTATATGCAGAGCACATCATGAGAAAGGCAGGGCTAGATGAATCAAAAGTTGGAATTAAGATTGCCGGGAGAAACATCAACAACCTAAGGTATGCAGACGATACCACTCTAATGGCAGAAACTGAAGAGGAACTAAAGAGCCTCTTGATGCAGGTGAAGGAGAGTGCAAAAGTTGGCTTGAAACTCAACATTAAGAAAACCAAAATCATGGCATCCGGCCCTCTCAATTCCTGGCAAATAGATGGGGAAGAAATGGAGGTAGTGACAGATTTTATTTTTCTGGGCTCCAAGATCACCTCAGATGGGGACTGCAGCCAAGAAATTAAAAGACGCTTGCTCCTGGGGAGGAAAGCCATGGCAAATCTAGACAGTATCCTAAAAAGCAGAAACATCACCCTGCCAACAAAAGTGCGTATAGTCCAGGCCATGGTTTTCCCAGTTGCAATGTATGGCTGTGAAAGTTGGACCATAAGAAAGGCTGAGCGCCAAAGAATTGAGGCCTTTGAACTTATGGTGCTGGAGAAGACTCCTTGCGAGTCCCTTGGACTGCAAGGCGTTCAAACCGGTCAGTCCTAGAAGAGATCAACCCCGACTGCTCTTTAGAAGGCCAGATCCTGAAGTTGAAACTCAAATACTTTGGCCACCTAATGAGAAGGAAGGACTCACTGGAGAAGGGCCTAATGCTGGGAAAGATTGAGGGCAATAGAAGAAGGGGACGACAGAGAATGAGATGGCTGGATGGAGTCACTGAAGCAGTAGGTGTGAACTTAAATGGACTCCAGAAGATGGTAGAGGACAGGAAGACCTGGAGGAACGTTGTCCATGGGGTCACGATGGGTCGGACACGACTTCGCAATTAACAACAACTGCTCCCACGATCATCTTTCCATCTTTCTGGGGGCCCCCCTGCTTGACCCCCCCAAGAGCTGATGGAGTGGCCCAGGCAGTTGGGGCTGCTCACCTCCCCCCTTTGGGAACGCCTGCCTCCACAGTGCCCGTCCCCTACCTTGTATTCCTGGGCAGCTTCGGGCAGAGAGAAGAGGGGGTGGCCCTGGTGCCCCCCCAGGCAGCCGGCGCAAAGGAGGCGCTTCTCGCTGGAGCAGAAGGTCTGCAGGGGCTGCTGGTGTTCCTGGCACAGCTGTGGGCCGCTGCTCCCCTCCTGGGCTCCCCCAGACAGCCGAAGCCCCTTCACCAGGCCCACGATATTGGCCAGGGCCCGGTTGGGGTAGGCGCTGCCGGGCTCCACCCTGGCTCTGCACTGGGGGCAGGAAGCCTCAGCGCCCAGCCGGGCCAGGCAGTCACAGCAGAAGTTGTGCCCGCAGGCCAGGACCATGGGCTGCTGGAAGAGGTCCAGGCAGAGCGGGCAGGTGGCCTCGTGGCCCAGCTGCTCCAAGGCCGTCTCCTCCCCTGAGGCCGCCATGGGACTCTTCACTTCCGTTTCCCCCTTGCTGGGCCTGGAAGGAAGAGAGGCTGATTTGTTGGCTCCTTGGGGGGGGGGCAGCCGGGAGTCGGTAGGATTTCTCAGCCCCTCCCCTCCTGGAGGGAACATGCTCCGAGCCCCTCCTTCAAGCCCAGAGGCATTAACCCCCCCGTTAGAACTGGCTTTTTGAAATGGGGGGGTTACTCAGTGGTCAGAGAAGAGAACAAGGGAGGCCTCCTTGGGGTCTGGCAGGGCTTCTTTGGGCCCCATCCGCTCTTGTGTCCCTTCAGCCTCAGCCCAGGGGTCTCGTGGGGTCCCGGCCCTCCTTGGAGAATGAGCAAGCCTTTAGCCCCATAGACCCCCCACGTTGCGCTCCTTCCCTGCCAGTTCCCCCACGACCGAGGCCTCCCCCCAAATAAACCTGGCAAACAGGAGAAAAACCCGGTTCGACCCCCCCCCCATTTTGAGGGTGCCCCCCACCTTCCCGCTTGGCGCCCTTCAGTGGGAACCGGGGCGTCGTTTCTTAAGGGGGGGGGGAGAAAGCGGAGCTCACCTTCCCAGCGAAGCTGCTTCGGCCCTTCAGAAGGCAGCAGGGCTGCCCCCTCCGAAGGGACTCCGGTCGGTGGGGCCAAAGGCGGGGAGGAGGGCCGCCCCCTCCCCAGAGCCTGAACCGGAGCGCAACTTTCCCACGCGCGGAAAGGCAGCCCTGCCCGGAGCGGAGGAGGGGCGCCGCTCTTGGGCCTGGGGAGGGCAGCGAAGAGGACCCAGGGAAGGCCCCCACCCGGCGCTCCCGCCGCCGCACTTTCGCCCCCTCCGCAGAGCAGCCGCCTTTCCCGCCGACTGGAAAGCTAAGCGCGGGCTCGGCGGCGCCTGCGCAGAAGCAACCAGGGAGATGCCGGAGCTTTCGGTTTCGTTTCCCAGCTGGGAGGGGGAGCGGAAGGAGACGGTCCTGCCCGTCCCCGCGGTGGGAGGCCATTTCCCCCGCGTGGATCGCTGAGCCGCCCCTCCCGCCCGGCTGCTCTCCCCCAGGGGCCCCTCGCGGGCCTTTCCACGGCACGGGGGGGCTGGGGGGAGCCGGCCACGCTGGATGCTTCCCAAAGCAGGACCCCTGGCCCACCCACGGGTGGGGTTTGCCCTCTCCTCCTCCCGGAATAAGACCCCCGTGGGTGGAGGTGCCCGGGATTCGCTTGGTGGCCCCCCACGCTCCCGGAGGGGTCAAAAAAGGCAAGAGGGCGGCCAGCCCAAACTCCTGGGGGAGCGAATGCGGCCTCACGAGGTGATTCTCCCGCGTGGGCGGGGGCGTCCCTTCAGGGCAAGGGGCGCGGAGGAGGAGCCTCCCTCCCAGGAGTGGGGTGGGGGTGGGTGGGGAAGGGGGCGCGCTTCCCGGGGGCCGCTCAGGGGAGGCTTTGGCGAAGACCCCGCAGAGCCCCCTTCTCGCACTTCACCCCGGAGGCCAAGGGCTGCCCGCGACCCCCCCTCCTTCCGCCTCGCCGGCCGAGGGTCTGCGCCCCTTCCCCACCTGCTGGGAGAAGAGGGATCCCGGGAAGGGATCGAGCTGGATCCCCTGGTCTGGGGCAGGGTGTAGAAGAAGCCCGATCGGGTCGGGGACCGTCAGTGCGTCGTCCAGTGCAGGGAAGCCCAACATCGGGGGGTTCAGCGGCTCCTGGCTCCGAAGAGGCGAAGGGGGAGGCTGGGGGGGGGCTTTCAGCACGAGGACAGCGCCCTCCGCCCGTCTCGGCCCCGCTGGACACCGGGGTGGAGGGCAGCGAGCGAAGTCCTAGAGCGGTCGCCTGGGGAAGCGCTTCCTGCTCGCCCCCCGCCCCCCATGGAAAGGCTCCCGGGGCAGCTGTTCCCCCCGAGCGTCCGAAGGGAAGAAGTTGCTCAAGATGTTTAAAGCTTTTTGGGGGGGCACGCGAGCCCCTCCTGGTGTTTCAGAGCGCGCCCACCCGCTGGGGGAGGCTCCGGAGCAGGGCTCGTCCGGGGTGGACTGCTCCTGCAAGGGGAGGTTCCGCACCAAGTGTTTAGGTGGGGGGGGGCTTAGAGGCTCCGGGTGGCTGTTGCTGGGGCAGCTTGGAGCAAGAACTCCGGGGGTGTCGGGTGGGGCCCAGGAGGGCCGGACCGAGCGAGTGGCAGCCAAAACCCCCCTCTTGATATACAGTGGACACGTCCACCAGCCGCAGAGACACGGGATCTACATCTACACGTGATGGAGCGAGATGGGGAGGGCGCCCCTCTGCACCTGTACCCAAGAGGGCTCCTGGCACCAACCTCTACTCCGGAGGGGGGGGGTCTTCAAACGTAGCCCTTTTATGACTTGTGGACTTCAACTCCCAGAATTCCTCAGCGAGGCACACGTTGTTACGTGTGAGGGGGGATTAGAGGCTTCGGGTGGCTGTTGCTGGGGCAGCTTGGAGCAAGAACTTCGGGGGTGTTGGGTGGGGCCACGTAGGTCACCCCCTTGGCTGAAAGGTCACGTCTGAACCAGGGGCCTTCAGGTGGGTGGAGCCGAGGCTGCCTGCTCTGGGCAGAGGGTCGGACTGGATGGCCTCCAGGGTCCCTAGGAGTCTTTGGGTCTCCAGGGCAGCGTTTGGACACTCCCAGCGGCTGGAGGTTTGGGCCGGGATTCTTCCCCTCTCCTCACTGAGCCGAGGTCATCGCCCCTAAACCAGCCCAGCTCGGGAAGAGCCTCCAAGGGATGGCCCCAAGCGGGAGGCCTGGCAGCAGCGCAGCTCCGGGCTGTTCTCCAGGCTTCCCTGCGGCTGCCCTCGCTGGAAGCGCCTCGGAGGGGGAGCCAAAGGGAGCGAGTCTGTCCGGGGCAGCCGCTCTGCCTGGGGGAGGAGCTGCCCCCACTCTCTCCCCCCCAGACGCCCCGAGAGGCCCAGGGTGGTGTGAGCAGCAATGGGGGGGGGCCCTGGAGAGCCGTGTGTGGGCGGGGCATTCCTCCCCCCCCCAAAAGGGGCTGAGTGCCGTTCCGCACGTGGCTGTCCCGCCTCCTTGGGCTCAGGATGATGGGACGCCTTGTCCAGGCCAGCAGGGGGCGCCTTCGACCGCAGCCCCTGCAAAGCGACCTCCCTCCGACGGGGCGCCTTCTCCGGGACGGCTGAGGTTGCGGAGGCCCCTTCGCTGCGGGGGGAGGAGAACCCTCCTTCCCGCCGCCACGCTGCCCGGAAGAGCCTGGCTGAGTCCCGCCCTCCCCCTCCCCGATCCGCTGTGGGTGGGCGGGACGAGCACCCCGAGAGCCCCAAGCGCAGCCCTTCGACGGCCCTCCTTGGCCGGGGCAGCCTCCGCGGAGAAGGGCGGGAGGGGGCTGCCTCCCCCACGGGTCACCCACTTCCCCCCCCCGTGACGGCTCCTGGCCCGGTTGGCCGCCACGGAAGCCGCCGCTGCACACAGCCCGGGGACCCCCCCACCCCACGAGCACTCGACGCCGCCTCTGCTCTGATTTTATCCCTCTTCGTTTGTGACACGTCCTAAGGAAAATTCCCACAGGAGGGAATATGTGCGGCTGAGGGTTGAACTGCGGGGTCCCCTGAGGAGGTTGCCTAGTCCGGTAATAAAACGTTTGCAACCCCCCCCCAAAACCTCATCCAGGTCAAGGAGCTCCAAGGACACCCCCCCCCCATGAGAGGCTGTAAAGCCCCCTCATTTGTGATCCCTGAGCCGAAAGTCAGGAGAAATCTCACCTCTGTGCAGCTGAAGCATCTCCTATGACATTTAATAATTATTTATTTAAAGGCGAACTGGTGTATTTCCCTCCCCCCCCCAGCTAGTTTGGCCTATCAGTGAAGGCGCCAGGCTAGAAACTGGGAGACAGTGAATTCTAGTCCCACCTTCAGCAATAAAGCCGGCTGGGTGACTTTGGGCCAATCACCAGGAGACGTGAGTTCTAGTTCCGCCTTCAGCAATAAAGCCGGCTGGGTGACTTTGAGACAGTCTCTCCCTCCCTCCCTCTCCCCTCCCCCCTCTCTCTGAGCCCAACCTACCTCACAAGGTCGTTGTGGGAAAATAAGAGGAGAAAGGATGTTCACCGTCTTGAGTTATTTATAATAATAAAGGCAGGATAAAAATTAGTGAATCAATTTGTCTCAGCTCCAATTTGAACCCAAAAGGCAGCCAGGACCTGGAGGAGACCCCAGGGGGCCCCCAGCCTCCCAGGTGCCAGGCAAGCGCTGGTTTTAACTGGTCTGTCCTTCTCGGCCGGGCACCTTCCGGGCTGCCTCCCCACTTCACCCCACCCGAAGGCCTCTGCCGGGGGGGGGGGGAACCACTCATTCCCAGGGGAGGGTCTCTTTCCTGGGGGGGGGGAGTTCTGGACATCCAGAGGGGGCTCTCCCATATGGGCACCATCCTCCCTTCCGGCCTTCAGCCTTTGGGGTCAAGGGGGCTCTGTGTGCGACTTAGGCGCCTTCTATGTTGGGGACCTGTAAACTTTTTAACTGTTTTGTTGCCGTAAAGTGTCCAGAGTCTTTGGCCAACTCCTGGGCGTTTTCTGCTGGACCAGAGAGGCAGGCTGGCCAGCCGGAGTCCTGCGGCTGCTCAGGGCCCTTTGCAGGATCAGAGTGGCCCCTCCCCCACAGAGGCCACAGCCAGGGACAACCGAAGGGAAGAGTTCCCCTCCCCCCCATGGCTCAATCTCCCTGTCAAGGGCAGGGATGGTCCTGACCTCCCCCCCGTCCCCCCCCCTTGACTGCCTTCCATGGCAGACCGAACAGGAAGCCCCGATCCGAGGCCCTTTGCCTCCCAGGATTCGGGACATCACCCCCCCCCCATTTTGCAGGGAGAGGCTTCCAGACCCGGATTTTCCAGCCAGGACCCAATCTGGGATTGTGTTTTGTGCTTCCGAGTCCAATTTGTGGGCCTGCTGGCTCCTTTTAAAGCCCTCTGTGGCCAAGATGTCTTCAGGGATCCCCTTTCCCAAATCGTGTCTGTCTGTCCACCCCGGATGACCAGAGAACAGCCACTAAGGGGTCCTCCTCCCCTTAAGAGGCGGTTGAAGGTCTCTGTGGGGCTCCCCCCACCCCTGGGAAACTCCCACCCCCATTGGCCCCACTTCAAGGGCTGCCAAAAATACCCCTTTCCCAGAGGACCTTTGGGGGGGGTCGAGCCTACCTTTAAAAATTATTGTCGTGGAAGCTTTCAAAGGTCGCCTTAAAAACTTATTCAAGATGTACGTAAATAGCCCAGCGTCTGTGAGGACCAAGGTGTAGAGAAATGGCACAAATAAAAGATAAACATGTTGCTTTTTTAATAAGAAACTTGGAGTAACATTGGAGTAAAATTTAGAATCACATAAATGTAGAATAACGTGCAGATATTAAGATGTCGTTTTTATTGATTATAAAAGTACTGAGGCAGGGATTCTCATCCGTGGCACCCAGAAGACGCGTGGACACCCAAATTTTCTAGCCCAGAGGCCATGGCCAGTCCAAGCCCCCCAGGCCATCGGCAGCCCAGAACTGCTTGGCAGCCCCCCAAGCAGCCTGGGCTGATCATGGCGACGTTATGGAAGGTAGGATATGGATGGGGAGGGGAGACCACCAAGAAACCCTGGCAGACTAGACAGGGGAGTTGGAAGGACACCCCAGAGGACAGTGGGCAACATCTGGTCCTCTTGAAGGCATCAGGAGATTGGGCTGAGCATAGCGGACTGTGCTGCAGCCCCACCTCTTGGGCTTCAAGTACACACACACACACAAACACACAAACACACACACGGGGAAAAAAGGCCCATGAGCAGGAATCAGGGAGGTAGGTAACGTGGGCCCGTGCCCTGGAGGTAGTCCCCAACGGAGACTAAAAATCAATGTTCTTAAGTGAGAAATTTGTTTTGCCCCGTCTGACGACTTTTCTCGCCACACTTTAAGCGAATCGCTGCAGTTCTTAAATGGGTCACACAGTTGTTGAGGGAACTCCGTTTCCCCGGTGACCTTGCTCATCAGAGGGGTCGCAAAAGGGGACCAGGGGATTCCAGGTCAGGGCGTCTGTCAAAGACGTGAGTCATTCGCCAAGGGTCTGAACTTCAATCGCCTTGACTGAGGTCCCAAGTGTGCAAAATGGCCACAAGTCGCTTCTTTCAGTATTCTGGTAACTGATTATTGAAGGAACTGTTGTTGAGATGGTCTATAGGGTTTCCTGCTTGAATGGGGGGGAGGGGGCTGGACTAGAAGACCTCCAAGGTCCCTTCCTGTTCTAATTCTATTCTATTTTCTATTCTCTTATAATCAGTAGCCGTGCCACACAGATGAACTTGGACATCCCTCACACTGAAGGCTGACCCCCTGCTGGCCTAGGTAGAAAAAAGGGTAGGCCCTCTCCCCAAAAAAGGCCCCCGTCCGGAAGGTGTAGAGGGGAGCCCCAGTCTCTGCATCCTGGAACTCCACCTCTTCTGCCTTGTAGTCTAGCTGCACCCGCAGCATCCACAACGGCGTTTGCAAGCTGAGCTTCTCGTGAACCTTGGAGAAAGCGACCGTCTCCCCCTCCACACTCCTCCCCACGGCCCAGATTCCCTCCTGGGGCCTCAGCCGGAAGTTCCCCTTCCTGCGTACAGACTCTCTGGCCACCCCAACAGCCCAGACTCCTCTGCCACCTTCCGGCACAGACACTTCCCAATAGTGCCAGCCTGCGGTGAATGCCTCGCAGCCCAGGGCGCACCATTCCTGGTTGAACCTCCCTGGCACATCCGGGAGATTCTGGTTTTGGTTGGCCAAAGTCAGAGTGGTTCCCTGGCACCAGAGCCGCGGGTGGGCGGTTGAGCTGTCCAGCGTGACGTAGACTGAAGAGGAGGGAGAAGAGAAGCTCTTAGGTGGGCTGGGAACAGGGGAGGAGGACAAGGCAGGGCAGGGCAGGGAAGGGCTGGCTCCCCGAGGAGGAGGCTAACCCAGCTCAGGAAGGATGGAGCGAGGGGCGGCTGCTTAACTTAACAAGTGCCTCACTCAGCAACGGAAATGCTGGGCTCAGTTGTGGTCGTAAGTTGAGGACTCCCTCCGTTCCTGCTTCTCCCGAGTTCCCACTATTGCTGGTTGTGGGTCTAGTGCTCTTCCAGAGCGATGGACACGCCTGCCATCAGGGACCTCCCTGCCGTTGCCCCAAGTCCACATTTGGGTGGCTGCTTTGGGGCCTGCAGACCTCCCACATCTGCTGGACCCCACCCTCTATGGGAAGCCACCCCACTCCCACCCCCAGAGCTTTCCCACAGTGTGTTGTTACCCTTAGTCGCTGCTGGAAGTTGTACATATTGTGGAACAGGTGTTCCTGGGGGAGAAAGGGGGGACAAGTGTTAAAATCAGGGCCAAGGCGTGGAAGGGAAGGGCCGGCTCCATGTGGCCGCTGTTACACCCCTGCTCCCCCTCCCTCAGATGCTGCCTTTGGGACGCCCCCAGACTCCCAGCGTCCCTTGGACCTTGAAAATTGCTGAGTAAGCCGCTCCTGGCCGGAGAGGCCAAAGGTCGCTCCAGCTTCTTCCTGGTCAGAGTCATGTCCAGGGAGGCTGAAATTTGGAGGAGGAAAGGAAAAAATGAGAGCGAGGTGAAAAACAGCCGCCCGCAAGCGACGGCCACACAGAGGCGGTCTTGGTCCCTGCCAGGTGCACAGCGACACCCTCTCCCCTAAGGAACAAGGGTTGGGGGCGTGACAGATGGAGGAGGCAGTACCCCCCTTCACCTCCCAGCCCAGCAGGATGGGGACTGGCTCCCCCAAGATTCCACAGTAGGAAGGGAAGAAGAGGGGCCCAGATCCCCCCAGACCCACCTCCAAGGAGCCCCGCACCTTTGTAATTGTCCACAACCTGCCTTACAGGAGTGTTTTTCTCCAAGATGGTCTTGAGTCTGTCTTGCAGCCCGGGGGAGACGCTCTTCACACGCCCCACCACATAACTCCGGCACCTGCGACACAAGGAGGGCGCCCTCACACAGCTACCCAGCTCTCTCCCCACAACACGTGTGACCTATGACTGTTTTCGCAGCTCCAGCTGTTGCAGCATCCCTCGTGGTCACATGATCAAAATTCAGACGCTTGGCAACCGACACGTTTACAGCAGTCACAGTTGCGTGATCCTGGGGTCACGTGATCCCCTCTGTACGACCTTCCGATAAGCAAAGTCAATGGGGAAGCCAGATTCACTTAACAATCATGTTACTAACTTATAAACTGAGATGATTCAACTGTCTCACTTGCAGAATTTTAGCCTCCACTGTGGCTCTTAAGTGAAGGACCACCAGTGCTACCCGCTTCCCCTGTCAAGTGTTGCTGGGACTGTTGCCACCTGCTCGGTGGTTCCACGATCAGGCTGTTGTTTACTGTTGGATTGTTTGTCTGTGTTGGTGGTTCCTAATCTGTGACGCTTACGGCTTAAGGCTGGATCTGCAACCAAGCCGTAAACAGCACCCCAACTAAGGGCAGCCTATCTGCATGTAAAGGGAGAGCGAACCCCACTTCCTCCCGGCACTGACAGCGTTACCCAGTCAGGTAATGTAACGTCTGCAAGGAATCGGTCGAGCCCAGAGAGCACCAGGACCACACGACTAGCTTCTCTCGGTGACAAAACTATCCTCGGAGATCCAGACGCACAAGGAATTTTGAGGACAAACTGACCCACAAGGACAGGGCGACATGGTGCCTTACCTGTCCACGGTGTCCTGGATATCCTGAAAGAGGAGAGCAGAGAAATGGGTCCCGGCCCTCGCAAAGGTAGCCAGCGTTCCCCCCCCAGGGAACCTCTGTTTCTCCCCCTCTTGAGGCCAGCGAGAGCCCCGCCCACCTGCAGGAATTCCCTGTCCGGCTGGCGGCACTTCCTGTCTATCTGGGCAATCAGCTGCTGCAGGCGGGAGGCCTCCCCGTTGAGCTGGGCCAGAGGGCCCACCCACTCGGCCTCCATCTTCTCCTCCTGCTCGGCCAGCCAGGCGAACCAGACCGACTTCCTCTCCCGGAGCAGCTCCTCCAAGGACCCCAGCGCCAGGCTGACCTTCTGCGTCTCAGTGGCTAATTGCTCCTGGGGGGGCAGAAGACGGGAACTCAGAGGGAGGGGGGAGAGTTCCCAGTTGCAGAACCAGCATCCCTGGAGCTGTCTCCTGTGCCCCCCCGAGAGACCCACCTGGCACTCCTGCCGGCTCTGCTCTTCTCTCCGCCTCTGCTCCAGCAGCTGCTTCTCCTCCTTCCTCAGGGGCTCCAGGAGGGCATCCAGCAAGTCCTGCGCGGGGAGGAGACGGTGCCATTGCCCAGTCCACGATGGCAGTGCTCCCACCCAGGGAGGCTGGCAAGGGGCCAGAGGGACCCCCGTGCTACACTCCAGGGGGAGGCCCTGCTGGGCACCAGAGCTTCCAGCAGAGAATCCGGCCAGGGAGAGGCTCGGGGCAGGCAGAGGCTCACGAGAGAGAAGCAGCTGAGAGTCTGCCTGCCTCCCATCTCCTCTCTCGCTGCCGAAAATTAGCCTGGCTCTCCTCTGCCATTTTAGAGCGTTAGTCTTTGGGGGCCTTTAACTGCATCTACTTCTGTGGATCACAAAAATTGTGGCAAGTTCTTAAAGAGATGGGAATACCAGACCATCTTATTTGTCTCTTGAGAAACCTATATGCGGGTCAAGAAGCAACAGTGAGAACCGAACACGGAACCACGGATTGGTTCAAAATTGGAAAAGGAGTCCGGCAAGGCTGTATACTGTCGCCCTGCCTATTTAACTTATAGGCAGAGCACATCATGAGAAAGGCAGAGCTAGATGAATCAAAAGTTGGAATTAAGATTGCCAGGAGAAATATCAACAACCTAAGAGATGCAGATGATACCACTCTAATGGTAGAAAGTGAAGAGGAACTAAAGAGCCTTTGATGCAGGTGAAGGAGAGTGCAAAAGTTGGCTTGAAACTCAACATTAAGAAAACCAAAATCATGGCATCCGGCCATCTCAATTCCTGGCCAATAGATGGGGAAGAAATGGAGGTAGTGACAGATTTTATTTTTCTGGGCTCCAAGATCACCTCAGATGGGGACTGCAGCCAAGAAATTAAAAGACGCTTGCTCCCGGGGAGGAAAGCTATGGCAAATCTAGACAGCATCCTAAAAAGCAGAGACATCGCCCTGCCAACAAAAGTGCGTATAGTCCAGGCCATGGTTTTCCCAGTTGCAATGTATGGCTGTGAAAGCTGGACCACAAGAAAGGCTGAGCGCCAAAGAATGGAGGCCTTTGAACTATGGTGCTGGAGAAGACTCCTGCGAGTCCCTTGGACTGCAAGGCGTTCAAACGGGTCAGTCCTAGAAGAGATCAACCCCGACTGCTCTTTAGAAGGCCAGATCCTGAAGTTGAAACTCAAATACTTTGGCCACCTAATGAGAAGGAAGGACTCACTGGAGAAGGGCCTAATGCTGGAAAAGATGGAGGGCAAGAGAAGAAGGGGACAACAGAGAATGAGATGCCTGGATGGAGTCACTGAAGCAGTAGGTGTGAACTTAAATGGACTCCAGAAGATGGTAGAGGACAGGAAGACCTGGAGGAACGTTGTCCATGGGGTCACGATGGGTCGGACACGACTTCGCAATTAACAACAACTGCTCCCACGATCATCTTTCCATCTTTCTGGGGGCCCCCCTGCTTGACCCCCCCAAGAGCTGATGGAGTGGCCCAGGCAGTTGGGGCTGCTCACCTCCCCCCGTTGGGAACGCCTGCCTCCACAGTGCCCGTCCCCTACCTTGTATTCCTGGGCAGCTTCGGGCAGAGAGAAGAGGGGGTGGCCCTGGTGCCCCCCCAGGCAGCCGGCGCAAAGGAGGCGCTTCTCGCTGGAGCAGAAGGTCTGCAGGGGCTGCTGGTGGTCCTGGCACAGCTGTGGGCCGCTGCTCCCCTCCTGGGCTCCCCCAGACAGCCGAAGCCCCTTCACCAGGCCCACGATATTGGCCAGGGCCCGGTTGGGGTAGGCGCTGCCGGGCTCCACCCTGGCTCTGCACTGGGGGCAGGAAGCCTCAGCGCCCAGCCGGGCCAGGCAGTCACAGCAGAAGTTGTGCCCGCAGGCCAGGACCATGGGCTGCTGGAAGAGGTCCAGGCAGAGCGGGCAGGTGGCCTCGTGGCCCAGCTGCTCCAAGGCCGTCTCCTCCCCTGAGGCCGCCATGGGACTCTTCACTTCCGTTTCCCCCTTGCTGGGCCTGGAAGGAAGAGAGGCTGATTTGTTGGCTCCTTGGGGGGGGGGCAGCCGGGAGTCGGTAGGATTTCTCAGCCCCTCCCCTCCTGGAGGGAACATGCTCCGAGCCCCTCCTTCAAGCCCAGAGGCATTAACCCCCCCGTTAGAACTGGCTTTTTGAAATGGGGGGGTTACTCAGTGGTCAGAGAACAAGGGAGGCCTCCTTGGGGTCTGGCAGGGCTTCTTTGGGCCCCATCCGCTCTTGTGTCCCTTCAGCCTCAGCCCAGGGGTCTCGTGGGGTCCCGGCCCTCCTTGGAGAATGAACAAGCATGGAGCCCCATAGACCCCCCCCTTGCGCTCCTTCCCTGCCAGTCCGTGAAGACCGAGACCTCCCTCCCCAAACAAACTGGGCAACAGAAGAGAAAAACCCGGTTCTCCCCCCCACTTTGAGGGTTCCCCCCACTGGGGCGCCCTTCAGTGGGAATCGGGGCGTCGTTTCTCAAGGGGGGGGGAGGAGAAAACGGAGCTCACCTTCCCGCGAAGCTGCTTCGGCCCTTCAGAAGGCTGCAGGGCCGCCCCCCCTCTGGAGGGACTCCGGTCGGTGGGGCCCAAGGCGGGGAGGAGGGACGCCCCTTCCCCGGAGCCTGAACCGGGGCGCAACTTTCCCACGCGCGGAAAAGCAGCCCTGCCCGAAGAGGGCAGAGCAGCCGCCTTTCCCGCCGACTGGAAAGCTAAGCGCGGGCTCGGCGGCGCCTGCGCAGAAGCAACCAGGGAGACGCCGGAGCTTTCGGTTTCGTTTCCCAGCTGGGAGGGGGAGCGGAAGGAGACGGTCCTTCCACTCGCCGCGGTGGGAGATCATTTCCCCCGCGTGGAGTGCTGAGCCGCCCCTCCCGCCCGGCTGCTCTCCCCCAGGGGCCCCTCGCGGGCCTTTCCACGGCACGGGGGGGCTGGGGGGAGCCGGCCACGCTGGATGCTTCCCAAAGCAGGACCCCTTGCCCATCCACGGGTGGGGTTTGCCCTCTCCTCCTCCCGGAATAAGACCCCCGTGGGTGGAGGTGCCCGGGATTCGCTTGGTGGCCCCCCACGCTCCCGGAGGGGTCAAAAAAGGCAAGAGGGCGGCCAGCCCAAACTCCTGGGGGAGCAAATGCGGCCTCACGAGGCGATTCTCCCGCGTGGGCGGGGGCGTCCCTTCAGGGCAAGGGGCGCAGAGGAGGAGCCTCCCTCCCAGGAGTGGGGTGGGGGTGGGTGGGGAAGGGGGCGCGCTTCCCGGGGGCCGCTCAGGGGAGGCTTTGGCGAAGACCCCGCAGAGCTCCCTTCTCGCACTTCACCCCGGAGGCCGAGGGCTGCCCGCGACCGCCCCCCTCCTTCCGCCTCGCCGGCCGAGGATCTGCGCCCCTTCCCCACCTGCTGGGAGAAGAGGGATCTCGGGAAGGGATCGAGCTGGATCCCCTGGTCTGGGGCAGGGCGTAGAAGAAGCCCGGTCGGGTCGGGGACCGTCAGGGGGTCCCGTGCAGGACTGCAGGATGAGAGGGCAAACCCCACCCGTGGGTGGGCAAGGGGTCCTGCTTTGGGAAGCATTGAGTGTGGCCGGCTCCCCCCAGACCCCCCCATGCCGTGGCAAGGCCCGCCAGGGGCCCCTGGCGGAGAGCAGCCGGGTGGGAGGGGCGGCTCAGCGCTCCACGCGGGGGAAATGGCCTCCCACCGCGGGGAGGGGCAGGAGACCCTACACCAGAGGTAGGCAACCTTGGCCCTTTTATGACCGGTGGACTTCAACTCCCAGAATTCCTGAGCCAGCCATGCTGAGGGGACAGGGAGAGGCTTCCAAGTTGAGCCATGCAGGCCCAGGAATTCTGGGAGTTGAAGTCCACGAGTCATAAAGGAGCCAAGGTTGTCTACCCCTGGTTTAATATATGTGGCCAAAACTCACGAGAGTGTTTGGGATTTGAGATTTTTCCCGATTTTTGGCACACGGTTCCTATAAAGTAAGGGATTAGAAATAAGGAGGGTGCTGGCTGCCCACCCCCCCTTCCCTTAGCGCCCAGCCCCTTCTGGTGGGGAGGGATGCCCCACCCACATACGTAGCTGTGTGGGGCAGGGGTGTGCAACCTTGACCACTTTTAAGACTTGTGGACTTCAGCTCCCAGAATTCCTCAGCCAGCTCTGCTTGTCAGAACCCGTATCAACAAATTCCCACTCTCTTCTCATCCTGGGCTCTGCCATACTCCTAGGCGGGGGGGGGGGGAAGGGGGAGTGCTTGAGGTTTATTGTCTCTAAAATGTCACACTTTGCTTTCCTGCATTATTTCTCTGTGAACTTTCCCATCCCTTACTGTCAGCTAGCAAAAGGGAGGGGAAGAATGGCATGCAACCTCGGGGGGGGGGGCGACTGCTTTATGTCTGGGGTCCCAGAGAAGGTGCAAGGAACCTAACACCTGGGGATTGGGCCGTTTGAACCGACCGGATGAACTATGGGGTGGGGTTTTTGCTTGGGACACTTTTGCCTATCCATCTGAGCGAGAAACCCTCAGATCCTGTCTGTTATGCCTGCTGTCAGCTTCTCCTAATAAAAGTTCCCTTCGGAAGAAACCGCTTTCACAGGTTCTGCTTTCTTGGGATGAGAGTTTGATGTGGATCCTGACACCCCTGCTCTAGGGGACCCGGGGGTCTTCCAGGCTCTGCCCCCGCCCCCTGTTGCTGCACAGACCACTCCGGGCCTCCCTTTGGAACGGAGGCCTCTTGGGGCATCCCCAGAAGACTTGAGAGGGGGAGCTGGCCCCCCAGACAGAGCGGCTGCCCCGGACAGACTCGCTTCCTTTGGCTCCCCTTCCAAGGGGCTTCCCAGCCAGCTACAGGGAAGCCAGAAGAAGAGCCCGGGGCTGTGCTGCTGCCAGGCCTCCCGCTTGGGGCCATCCCTTGGAGGCTCTTCCTTTGGGGCAACAGTGACAAAAGACTCCTAGGGACCTTGGAGGATATCCAGTCAAACCCCTGCCCAGAGCAGGAAGCCTTGGCCCCTCCTGTCAGAATATCGTGTGTGTTTTTCCTTACAAGACGTCTCACAAATAAAGAAGAATTCTAGCCGTGGTGCCCAATACTTGCAGGGAGAGGGTGTCCGGGGGGCTCACATGCACAACTTTCCAGGGGGCCCCAGGCTCCCCAATTGCTGCACTGACCACCCAGGAATCGACCCCTCTCGGGGCGTCTGCAGGGGCCACGGGGGGGTCTCAGCTGGCCCCCAGGCAGAGCAGCTGCCCCGGACAGACTGGCTTCCTTTGGCTCCCCCTCCGAAGCACTTCCCAGCCAGGGCAGCCACGGGGAAGCCTGGAGAAGAGCCCGGGGCTGCTCTGCTACCAGGCCTCCTGCTTGGGGCCATCCCTTGGAGACTTGTCCTGAGCTGGGCTGGTTTACGGGCGATGCCCTCGGCTCAGGGCATCAGTGAGAAGAGCGGAAGAATCCCGGCCCAAACCTCCAGTCGCCGGGAGCGTCCAAATGCTGCCTTGAAGACCCAAAGACTCCTAGGGGCCCTGAAGGCTCCCCCCTCCAAGACAGCCCTCCCCCCATGGCCCACCCTCCCTCAGGCAAGGGCAGGGATGGTCCTGACCTCCCCTCCCCCTGTCCCCCCCACCTCTTGACTGCCCTACATGGCAGACCAAATGGGAAGCCCGGATCCGAGACCCTTTGCCTCCCAGGATTCAGGACGTTTCCTGCCCCCCCTCATTTTGCAGAGAGGCTTCCAGACTGGCTTTTCCAGCCAGGACCCCCTCTGGGATTGTGTGTGTGGGGGGGGAGGGGGGACATGAGCCCCAGGACTGCCTGGCCCTCCCCTCCTGGGCCTGGCTGGTGGGTTTTCCAAAATCCTGCACTGGCTATGTGGCTGCATCTCCCTTCCCCAGGCGGTGGGCCCTCCCCTCCCAGCTCTGCCTCAGTGCTCCTCCAGGATCCTTCTTTGGGGGGGGGGATTTTCCTTCTTATTCCCCCCCCCAGCCACTCCCAAACACCTCCCTCCAAAAATGACCAGCAGATTCTCTCCAGAGTAGGAGCTGAACTCATTGTGGAGCCTGCAAGGGTCACTTTCGGCCTCACAGTGCTAAAGGGCAGAGTCTCGGGGGGGGGCTGCTCTGGAGAGGGTGGTGTGGGGGTGGATCCTGCCTTCTGGCCCTCAATATCACCCCCCCCTCCATAAAGTCACTGCATGCTTGGTGCCCTTGATCTCCAACTTGCTCAGATCGTCTGAGAGACCCAAGTGGACTCAGGGAAGTGAGGCCCAGGTGGGCTTTTTTTTGGGGGGGGGGAGATTCATTAACCCTTCCCCTCTCAGGCCCATCACGGCCATCCCAGAGGAGGAGGGTTGTGGTAACTCCTCTCCTCTCCTCTCCGGAAAGCCCAAAGACGTTTCAGAGGCTCTGCCTGGCAAACAGCCGATGCCGGAGTTGGGCACGAGGGAGCTGGAGAGCCTGTTTACCGGATGCCAGCCTCCCTGGGGGCACAGCGACACCTGCCCCCCCCCCGAAGAGCTGCTTGCCTCCATTGCCGAGTTCACAATGGCGTCTGTCTCTAAAGCAGCGGTTCTCCACCTGTGGGTCGGGACCCCATTTGGGGTCGAACGACCATTTCACGGGGGTCGCCAAACAACGCAGTCTGCCATTTCCCCCCCCCCTTTTCCTTTGCTGTGCTCCTCCCTTTTATTCAATTGGCTTTCGAAAGCCAATAGAATAGACTCTCTTGAATAGAGTCTAATTCTATTGGCTTTCAAAAGCCAATAGGAATTGTCCGGGCTGTCTCTGCCTTGCTGAGCCCGCCAAAAGTCCCATTCTGCAAACGGTGCTGCACCAGTTGAGTAGTCCTCGACTTACAACCGGTTGGGGTTGCGGCATTAAAAAGGTTGAGAACCACTGCTCTAAAGCATGTTGCAGCATTAGTCAGCTGTGGCTCAAGAAGAGTTCGTGAGTGGCACGAACTCGGCACCTCTGGACTTCTGGGGAAGGTCTGGCAGGCAGCGGCCATCCCAGAGGAAACCTCTCTGGATTAGGGGAGGACGGGAGACACCCCTGCATCTGCTCCGGGCGGCTGTTCCCTTCCAAGGAGACCGTGGGACGCTGGCTTGAGCCTTTAGAGATATCTCCGTCAGCCATTTACGGCAAGGCTTCCAAAGTGAAGCTGACCAAGAGGTTGATCGGATTCTGTTGTTGTTGCTGCCCTGTGTGTTTCGGGTGGGGTTATGGGTGGTTTATGTGGGTTTTTTAAATTCTGTAAATTGCCCAGAGTCACCGCTGTGTGAATTGTGTGGTCGTATAAGTGTAACCAATTAATTCTGAATATAAGAAAGTATTAATCGTAAGCTTGAGAATGTAAAGGCTCTGAAGTAAACAGCATAAAGCTAAATATTTTCATTTTGCAAAGTTATAAATGGACTTAAGGGTCGAGATAAAATTGGAATATTGAAACAGGATCAGACTCAACCCCACCAGGATGGGAGCAGCTGTTCAAGTCCAATGTTTTATCCCAAAATTGTGTAATCTTCTCGTGGTTTCTGCTGACGACACATTGTGGCCTTCTCTGGAGCAGAACAGCCACAGAATGCTAGGGCTGGAAGAGGGACCTCAGAGGTCTTCTAGTCCAACCCCCTGCTCAAGGCAAAAGACCTTATACACCATCCAGCCAATGGCTGTCCAGCTTCTCCTTGAAAAGGCTTTTTCATTGATTAATTGTTCTCACGGTCAGGAAATTTCTTCTTTCTTCCAAGTTGGAGCTCTCTTCAACAAGCTTCCACCCATTAGTTCTTGTCAGTTGTGTCCCGATTAGACTACTGCAGTTTACTTTATGGAGGCATGTTGCCCTTGAAGTCTACCCTGAAATTTTGGCTACTCCAGAGCGCAGCGCCCAGCCTGCTTGTGCTCCCTGGCCAGCCTTGGTGTGGGCCCATCACACCACTGAGGTTGTGGCTGCCGGTGCCTCTGAGTGCTATTTGTGGGTCTGTTTAAAGCCCTGTGTGGCCAGGATGCCTTCAGGGACCGCCTTTCCCAAACCATCTGTCCGTCCACCCTAGAGGGCCACAGAACAGCAACTAAGGGGTCCCCCCTCCCCTTAGGGGTGGCTGAAGGTCTCTCTACGAGGATCCCCCCATGGGACAACCCCTTCCCCCCGTTGTCCCCACTTCAAGGGCTTTGAAGAGTAATCTTAAAAACATATTCAATGTCTACAAATAAAAGATAAACATATTGCTTTAATACGAAACTTGGGAGTAACAATGGAGTAACATTGGAGTAAAATTTAGAATAACATAAACGTAGAACAGGGGTCTTCAAACGTGGCCCTTTTATGACTTGTGGACTTCAACTCCCATCAAAGGGCCAAGTTCGAAGACCCCTGGTGTAGAATAACATGCAGATATTAAGATATGCTTTTTATTAATCAAAAGGTCCTTTAAACATCTAACTATGATCTACACTGCAAGCCACAATAAGGCAGGGATTCTCAACCGTGGCACTTGGAAGACGTGTGGACTTCCAATACCTAAATTCTGGAACTCTGGGAATCCACCCATCTTCCATAGTTGAGAAACACTGTGTTAACGCACAACAAGATTGCTACACCTAGCACCAGGAGGCATCAAGGGTTTTGCCCGAGCAAGGGGCACTTCAAAGGGGGGCTCAGAGGGGCCAGGAGCATCGCTGCGTCTTCCCCACGTGGTGGGATAAATGGGGGGAGGGGCTCCCAGCAATTGGTGGCTCAGAACCACTTGGCAGCTCCCAAATAGTCTGCACGATCATGGCAAAATTATATAGAGTTGGACATGGTACGGAGAAGGGAGACCACCAAGAAACACTAGCAGGGTAGAACGGGAGGGTGGGAAGGACCTCGTACCGGAGGACAACGGATATCTGGTCCTCTTGCCAGATGCATCCTCGGAAGGCACCAGGAAGTGGGGCTGAGCTAAGTGACCCCCTCTACAATCCCTCTGTCCCTGCTTCCAGGTACCACAATCGGACAAGGAGGATTGTGCAGGATCTGAGGAAGAGCACTTTTAACATGTTTCCCCCTTAACAAGCAGGAATCGGGGAGGTGGTGCCTTAATGTGGACTGCTGCAGAGTAGGAGTGCCCACCAGCCATCTCTACCTTTAACGTACTACCTCACACTGAAGGGTGACCCCCTGCTGGCCCAGGTAGAAAAAAGGGTAGGCCCTCTCCCCAAGGAAGGGCCCCGTCCGGAAGGTGTAGAGGGGAGCCCCAGTCTGCGCATCCAGGAACGCCACTTCTTCTGCCCTGTAGTCCAGCTGCACCCGCAGCTTCGTCAGCGGCGTTTGCAAGCTGAGCTTCTCATGAACCTTGGAGAAAGCGACCATCTGCCCCTCCACACTCTTCCCCACGGCCCAGATTCCCTCCTGGGGGCTCAGCTGGAAGCTCCCCTTCCTGCGTACAGACTCTATGGCCACCCCAACGGCCCAGACTGCTCTGCCACCCACTGGGGTGTTGCCTGCCTCCTTCACAAACACTTCCCAACAGTACCACCACGTGTTGAATCCCCCGCAGCCCAACACACACAATTCCTGGTCGAACCTCCCTGGCAGATCCAGGAGATTCTGGTTTTGGTTGGCCAAAGTGAGAGTGGTTCCCTGGCAGCAGAGCCGCGGGTGGGCAGTCGAACTGTCCAGTGTGACGTAGACTGAAGAAGAGAGAGAAGCTCTTAGGCAGGCTGGGAACAGGAGAGGGCAAGGCAGGTCAGGCTCCTCGGCTCAGGGAAGGACGGAGCAAGTGGCCACTGCCCCTGCTTAGCAGCCGGAGGGCAGCTGGATGCCAAAGGGGGAGGAAACTGGGCTGTTCTCTTTCGTCTCTGGAGCCCCGAGACGTGGTGCAGGGCGAGCTTCCAAAAAGGGAAGCTTGGGACCAATTCCCAAGTATGGATGGTCTCTGCAGCCTGAGGTCAGGGAAGGGTCTCTGGAGGGGCAGGGGAGCTGGGCAGTGGGTGGGTGGGTCACTGGGAGAACAGACAGGATAAGAGGAGCCAGGGGGTCCGATCCAGGGAAGGTCCTGTGTTTACTTTTATTGCTCAGGGCACCTGGAGTCCTCGTCTTACAACGGCAAAGTTACAACGGCTCTTATGACCGTTTTTCACACTTACGACCACTGAAGTATCCCCCATGGTCACGTGATCAAAATGGGGACGCTGGGGCAACTGGCATGGTACTTATGACGGTCGCAGAGTCCTGAGGTCACATGATCCCCTTTGGCAAAGTCAATGGGGAAGCCTGATTCATTTATCAACCGTGTTACTAACGACTGCAACGAGTCAGTGCCAGGAAAGGTTGTAAAATGGGGCAAAATTAACTTAACAAGGTGCCTCACTCAGCAATGGAAATGCTGGGCTCAGTTGTGGTCGTAAGTTGAGGACTCCCTCCGTTCCTGCTTCTCCCGAGTTCCCACTATTGCTGGTTGTGGGTTTAGCGCTCTTCCAGAGCGATGGGACCTCCCTGCCGTTGCCCCAGGCCCACATTTGGGTGGCTGCTTTGGGGCCTGCAGACCTCCTGCATCTGCTGGACCCCACCCTCTATGGAAAGCCACCCCACTCCCACCCCCAGGGCTTTCCCACAGTGTGTTGTTACCTTTAGGCGCTGCTGGACCTTGTATATATTGTGGAACAGGTACTGGAGAAGAAAGGGGGACAAGTGTTAAAATCAGGCTGGTCTTTCTGAAGAAGCCCCCTCCCCACTTCTTACAGGGTGAAACTGAAAACTGAGCCACCCTCCCCTCCCCCTTCCATGCCCTGAAAGACATGCCTGGATGCCCGGCCCAGCACCCTCAAGCCTGGCTCTTTTCTGGAAGGGCCAAGGCGTGGTGGGGAAGAGCCGGCTCCGTGTGGCAGCTGACAGACCCCCTGCCCCCTTCCCCAGATGCTGCCTTTGGGACCCCCCAGACTCCTGCCATCCCTTGGGCCTTCCAACTTGAAGAGAAAGCCACTCCCAGCAGGTTCCATTCCTGGTGACTTGGGGAAAACACTGCTGTGGGGCCAGGCGAGGGCAGGCGGTATGCAAGCCTCCCCCCCCCCACTGTCCACTTCCTCCCCAGTCCCATGAATTTACCCACGGCCAGAGGTCGCTGCAGCTTCTTCCTGGTCAGAGTCGTCTCCAGAGAGGCTGAGATTTGGAGGAGTAAAGGAAAAAATGAGAGTGAGGTGAGAAACAGCCGCCCGTGAGCGACGGCAGCGCAGAAGCAAATTTCTTGGTCCCTGCCAGGTGCACAGTGACACCCTCTCCCCTAAGGAACAAGGGATGGGGGGAGTGACAGATGGAGTGGAGGAGGCAATACCCCCCTTCACCCACCAGCCTGCGCAGGATGGGGACTGGCTCCCTCAAGATTCCCCAGTAGGAAGGGGAGAAGAGGTGCCCAGACCGCCCCAGCCCCACCTCAAAGGAGCCCCGCACCTTTGTAATTGTCCACAACCTGTCTTACAGAAGTGTTATTCCCCAAGATGGTCCTGAGTCTGCCTTGCAGGCTGGGGGAGGCGTTCTCTACGTGCCCCACCACGTAACTCCGGCACCTGCGACACAAGGAGGGCAGCCTCACACAGCTACCTGTCTCTCTATCCACAACATGGGGTGCGTGAAAGAAGCCAGCCCATTCCAGCATCTTGCCATAGGAATACAGAATTCAGGTTTTGTAAACTCAAGTTTAGGGTGTGGTACGAATCCTGGCTTGTTTGATATGTAAGCATGTACTTTGCTTTGATCGCAATTGACTCTGTGCACTGAACCAGAGTAGAGTTCAGTAAAGTAGTCAGGAAAGACAAAAATTCAACATAAATGTCAAATGTAATTCCGATCCTACTACACCAAAGATGAAGGTGTCCCACGCAAGGAAACCCGGTTTCCTGCAAAAATTGAGCTTACACTGCTTTCCTCAGCCCCAACCGGACACTCTGCCCAGGGATCGGCCCAAAGGACTGCTGAGGAAGTCGAGGTCCAAGAAGAGAAGAGAATGTCTGCAGCTGAGGGCCCTGGGCTGTTTTCGTGCAGACGTTTCATTCCCCAACTGTGTAACGTCACCAGTGCTACAGGTAACATTTAATGTCCATGTAGTCAATTTACAACTTTTCATTTAGTGGCCATTAAAAGTTACAACGGCACTAAAAAAACCATGACCTATGACCATTTTCCCAGTTATGACCGTGGCCACATGATCAAAATTTAGATGCTTGGCAACCAACGCATTTACGGCAGTTGCGGTGTCCCAAGGTCACATGATCCCCTTTGTATGACTTTCTGACAAGCAAAGTCAATGGGGAACCATGTTACTAACTTATCAACTGAGGCAATTCAACTGTCTCACTTAGCAGCAGAATTTTGGGCTCCACTGTGGCTGTAAGTCAAGGACCACCAGTGCTGCCGGCTTCCCCTGTCGAGTGTTGCTGGGACGGTTGTCACCTTCTTGGTGGTTCCGTGATCAGGCTGTTATTTACTATTGTTTGTCTGTGTTGGTGGTTCCTAATCTGTGTTGTTTACAGCTTAACGCTGGACCTGCAAACAAGCTGTAAACAGCACCCCAACTAAGGACAGCCTATCTGCATATAAAGAGAGTGAACCCCACTCCCAACACTGATGATGTTACCCAGTCAGGTAATGAAACGTCTGCAAGGAATCGGTCGAGCCCAGAGAGCACACAGGACCCCACGACTAGCATCTCTTGGTGACAAAGGGATCCTCAGTGATCCAGACACACAAGGAATTCTAGGGACTAACTGATCCACAAGGATATGGATAGGGAAGAGCAAGATGGTGTCTTACCTGTCCACGGTGTCCTGAATGTCCTGAAAGAGGAGAACAGAGAAATGGGTCCCGGCCCTGGCAAGGGTGGCCAGTGTCCCCCCTCAGGAGAACCTCTATTTCTTCCCCCCTTGAGGCCAGCAAGAGCCCCACCCACCTGCAGGAATTCCCCGTCCGGCTGGCGGCACTTCCTTTCCGTCTGGACAATCAGCTGCTGCAGGTGGGAGGCCTCTCCGGAGAGCTGGGACAGAGGGCCCACCCATTCAGCCATCATCTTCTTCTCCTGCTCGGCCAGCCAGGTGACCCAGACCGACTGCCTCTTCTTGAGCAGCTCCACCAGGGATCCCAGCGCCAGGATGACCTTCTGCTTCTCGGTGGCCCATTCCTCCTGTCAGGGGAGCAGAAGACGGGGAATTCAGAGGGAGGGGGGAGAGTTCCCAGCTGCAGAACCAGCATCCCTGGAGCTGCCTCCTGTGCCCCCTCCCCCCGAGAGACCCACCTGGCACTCCTGCCGGCTCTGCTCTTCTGCCTGCATCTGCTCCAGCAGCTGCTGCTCCTCCTTCCTCAGGGGCTCCAGAAGGGCATCCAGCAAGACCTACACAGGAAGGAGACGGTGCCATTCTGAGTCCACAATGGCAGTGCTCCCACCCAGGGAGGCTGGCAGGAGGGAAGCAGCTGAGAGTCTGCCTGCCTCCCGTCTTCTATCTCACTGCTGAAAATTAGTCTGGCTCTTCTTTGCCATTTTCGAGCGTTAGTCTTTGGGGGCCTTTAACTGCTCCCACGATCATCTTTCCATCTTTCTGGGGACCCATTTGCCTGACCCCCCCCCAAGAACTGAAGGAGTGGCCCAGGTAGTTGGGGCTGCTCACCCCCCCCCCTTTGGGAACGCCTGCCTCCACAGTGCCCGTCCCCTACCTTGTACTCCTGGGCAGCTTCAGGCAGGGAGAGGAGGGGGTGGCCTTGGTGCCCCCCCAGGCAGCTGGCGCAGAGGAGGCGGTTCTCGCTGGAGCAGAAGGTCTGCAGGGGCTGCTGGTGTTCCTGGCACAGCTGTGGGCCGCTGCTCCCCTCCTGGGCTCCCCTCAACAGCCGAAGCCCCTTCACCAGGCCCACGATGTTGGCCAGGGCCTGGCTGGGGCAGGCGCTGCCGGGCTCCACCCTGGCTCTGCACTGGGGGCAGGAAGCCTCAGCACCCAACCGGGCCAGGCAGTCACGGCAGAAATTGTGCCCGCAGGGCAGGACCATCGGCTGCTGGAAGAGGTCCAGGCAGAGCGGGCAGGTGGCCTCCTGGCCCAGCTGCTCCAAGGCCGTCTCCTCCCCTGAGGCCGCCATGGGACTCTTCACTTCCGTTTCCCCCTCGCTGGGCCTGGAAGGAGGAGAAGCTGATCTGTTGGCTCCTTCTGGGGGGGGGGAGAGCCAGGAGCCGGTAGGATTTCTCAGCCCCTCCCCTCGTGCAGGGAACGTGCTCCGAGCCCCTCCTCCCATTCAAGACCAGAGGCATTAAACCAGGGGTATCAAACTCAATTTCATTGAGGGCCACATCAGCATTGCGGTTGTCCTCAGGAGGGCCGGGTGGGTGTGGCCAGGGTGGGTGCGGCCTACTGGGTGGGCGTGGGTGGAGTAGGTGTGGCCTACTGGGTGGGCGTGGCCAGCTCTACATCGTTCGCATCAAGGGCGCCTGTGGGGGCCTGGGCAGGAATGGGACAGATCTGAGGGTCTCTGGCAGATGGGGGTGGGACCGGGGCAAGTGCCAAGGCAGGTCCACTGGAGGAGTTTCACTGTTCCTCTCAGGCCATGCAGCGGGGGGGGGGGCTTATGGAGCTAAGACTGAATGGCTTAGCACGTCTGCATTAACCCCCCCCCCAAACACACACTTTCCTGTCCTGAGGGAGGTGAGGGAAGGAAGCAACCAGAACTGGCCAAGCAGGGGGGGCTTCTTGCAAACGGGGGGGGGGTTGCCCAGCGTCCAAAGAAGAGAACAAGGGGAGCCTCCTCGGGGTCTGGCAACGGCTTCTTTGGACCCCCACCCGCCCTTCAGCCTCAGCCCAGGGGTCTCTCTTGGGGTCCCGGCCCTCCATGGAGAAAAACCCAGTTCGAACCCACCCCCAGTTTGAGGGTGCCCCCCGCCTTCCCACCTGGGGCGCCCTTCAGTGGGAATCGGGGCGTCGTTTCTTAAGGGGGGGGGAGGAGAAAGCGGAGCTCACCTTCCGTGCGAAGCTGCTTCGGCCATTCAGAAGGCAGCAGGGCCGCCCCTTCCGAAGGGACTCCGGTCGGTGGGGCCAAAGGCGGGGAGGGCGGGCGCCCCCTCTCCGGAGCCTAAACCGGGGACGCAGCTGTGCCGGGAACACGCGCTGAAAAGCAGCTTTCAGGGAGACGCCCCAACTTTCGGCGCTCCCCCCGCGGGACTTTCGCCTCCTCCTCCTCCTCTTCCTCCTCCGCAGAACAACCCGCCCTCCCGCCGCCTGTGAGTCTAAGTACGGGCTCGGGGGCGCTTGCGCAGAAGCAACCAGGGAGATATCGGAACTTTCGGTTTCGTTTTCCAGCTGGGAGGCGAGGCGGGAGGCGATCTCTCTGGAAGATTCTCCCGCTTATCCGCCCCTCCCGCTCGGTGGTCTCCACCAGGGGGCTCTCGCGGGCCTTTCCACGACGCGGGGAGTTGGGGGGAGCCTGCCACGCGGCTCGGTCACCCGGCGTTGAGCTCGGGCGCCCCGGGCTTTCCCTCTCCTCCGCCTCCTGGGTGAGGGGCGCAGGATTCGCCTCTGGCCCCCACGCTCCCGGAGGGGTCAAAAAAGTCAAGAGGGCGGCCACCCCGCAGAGCCCCCTTCTTGGACTTCCTCCCCGGAGGCCGAGGGCTGCCCGGGACCCCCCCTTCCGCCTCTCCAGCCGAGGGTCTGCGCCCCTTCCCCACCTGCTGGGAGAAGAGGGATCCTGGGAAGGGATCGACCGGGATCCCCTGGCCTGGGGCAGGGCGTAGAAGAAGCACGGCCGGGTCGGAGACCGTCAGGGGGTCCCGTGCAAGGAAGCCCAACATCGTGTGTGTGTGTGTGGGGGGGGGGTTCAGTGGCTCCTGCCTCCGCAGCGCCCGAAGAGGAGGGGGGAGGCAGGGGGGGTTCAGCACTTGGACAGCGCCCTCCGCCCGTCCCGCCTCCGCTGGACGGGGGGGGAGGGCAGAGAGCGGAGTCCTAGAGCGGTCGCCTCGGGAAGGGCTTCCTGCTCGTCCCCCCGCCCCCTGGAAAGGCAACCGGGCAGCTGCCACCCCTGGGCGTCCGAGGGGGCTGCCGGAGGGGCGGGGTCGGTGGGCGGAGAGACAGTGCACCCCAGGACTGATTGGGGAGTCTATGCTCAAGTTGTGTAAAGTTTTTTGGGGGGGCACGCGAGCCCCTCCTGGTGGTTCAGAACCGCGCCAGTTCCACCCGCTGGGGGCGGCTCCGGAGCAGGGCCCCGTCCGGGGTGGACTGCGTCTGCAAGGGGAGGCTCTGCATCAAGTGGGGAGAGGGGCTTAGAGGCTCCGGGTGGCTGTTGCTGTGACAGCTTGGAGTAAGAACTACGGGGGTGTCGGGTGGGGCCATTTAGGTCACGCCCTTGGCTGAAAGGTCACGTCTGAGCCAGGGGCCTTCGTGTGGGCGGGGCCGAGGCTGCCCGCTCCGGCCAGAGGGTCCGGCTGGATGGCCTCTAGGGTCCCTAGGAGCCTTTGGGTCTCCAGGGCAGCGTTTGGACACTTCCAGCGGCTGGAGGTTTGGGCCGGGATTCTTCCGCTCTCCTCACTGACGCCCTGAGGCGAGGGCATCGCCGGTAAACGAGCCCAGCTCGGGAACAGCCTCCAAGGGATGGCCCCGAGTGGGAGGCCTGGCAGCAGCACAGCCCCGGACTCTTCTCCAGGCTGCCCTGGCTGGGAAGCGCCTCGGAGGGGGAGCCACTCTGCCTGGGGGGCCAGCTTCCCCCCCACTCTCTCCCCAGGCGCCCTGAGAGGATGTGAGCAGCAATCGGTGGGGGGGGGAGCCTGGAAGACCCCCAGGGTGGGGGACCCTTCACTGCAAGGGGGTTACCCTCTTTCCCTCCAGCCCCTGCCCGGAAGGGCCTGGCTGAGTCCTGCTCTCCCCCTCCCCGATCAACTGTGGGTGGGTGGGACAAGCAGCGGGAGAGCCCCAACTGGGGGAGGGGGCTGCCTCCCCCCCTCCCCCTCCCGAGACGGCTCCAGGCCTCCCCCCCTCTCCCATATTGGCGCCATCACCCCTTCCGGCCTTCAGCCTTTGGGGTCAAGGGGGCTCTGTGTGCGGATTGCATGCCTTCTATGCTGGGGACCTTTCAACTTTTTAACTGTTCTATTGCTGTAAAGTGTCCGGAGTCCATAGCCGCCTCCTGGGCTTTTTCTGCTGGACAAGAGAGGCAGGCCGGCCTGCCGGAATCCTGCATTTGTGGGATCTGAGTGGCCCCTCCCCCACAGAGGCCACAGCCAGGGGGTGGGGGGCTGCGAGAGCTTCCTCCAGGCGGGACCTGCCCCGTACTGGCATCTGGAAGGAGCTCCCCCCTCCCGCCTGCCCAAGGCTGGTCTCCCGCCCCCAGCCCAGCCCTCCCTCCCCGTGGGGTGCCAGAGAGTTTTCTTGGGGGGGGGGGAGAGAAATGGCTGACAAACCGGAACTTCTGGGAAAGGAATGGGAGGGAGGGAGCGGCGGCCTCAGCTGGGCTGGGTTCCCGCTGGAAGCAGGAAGGGAAGTTTGTTTCTGCCGAAGGAGAAAGTTCACCCTTGGGACGGAGGTGAAGAATTCAAGGGCCCAGAGCAGAAGCTGGTTCAGGTATTTATACAAAACGTTTCTCCAGCTGGCTTACAATCCGGCATCCACACGTGCTTAGTGGCCTTTGTCCTCCTGGCCACGAGGTTGCCTCTGGGGCCGTCTTAGCCTTCGGGAGAGTTTCCTGCAGTTTCGTCCGCTTGGCAAGGCAGCCTCAAAAAACGCAAGATGACCCCTTGTGGGTAATTCAACCAGTTCTCACTTTTTGGGGGGTGGGGGTGGGGGACCCATTTGTACATAGTTTTGATGGCTGACTTGGGATGGAGATGCCTCCGGGCGCTGCTGTCTGTTGGGTTTCAAGGGGACCTTTCCCTCTTCAAAGGATTCCCTCCTTTTGCTGATCAAAGTCCAGCTGGTCAGCCTGAGTCACGTGGGAGAAAAGCAAAACGGGGGAGGGCCACTTTTATTGTGTAAAGTTTGCCCCTCCCCTGACAGGGCCAGGCTCTGCCCTCCCTACGTCCCTGGGTGTGTGGGTAGTTATCTCTGTGTAGATTTTGCGTAACAACGTTGCCAGGTCAGAAACACAGTTCCTCTTCTCTCCTGTGGACTCCTCCCCAAAAAGGTATTCCTGGGCCCTGAAGGACCCCAGCTGGGTGGGTGGGTAGGCACAGGGGGGATTCCTGGCTTCCGTCCCTCCCTGTCTGGAATACCTGCTCCTGCTCCCCTCCCTCCCCACACTTCCTGTGGAGGGAGGGCACCTGGTGGGCCCGCAGATCAGATGTGTCCCCAAGGGCATTGTGGCCAGCCTGCATCTCAGCAGCCCTGTTTGCCTCAAGATGGGGCTTCCCGTTCGGCCAGATGGACAGTTGACCGGAGGCCTCTCTCCCACAGCCCGTGAGGGACTCGCTTTCCCGGGACACCGGGATGGGCACCACCTGGGCAGGTTCAGAGGGGCTTGGGCAGACGCAGGAGCAGAGGCCTCCGTGCCTGAAGGCAGGGACCCTGGAGAGGTCCCTTGTCCTGCTGGGGGACCCTCCACGAGGTGCTGCAGGAGCTGCCTGGACCCCCGTCCAGGCACGATTCTGGTAGCTTCTGGGGCTGTCTTGATGGGGGCCCAGGGAAGGCAGGCAGGCGGAGAGCAGGGAAGCTCGCCACGAGGCGCTGCTCAGCCTCTCCCTGAGAAGCCTAGATCTCTTCACAGGCCTGCACATAATCACTCCACAGGAACAGCAAGCACAAGCGGCACGCCTTGGCAGGATGGGTGGGGCTCCTCTGTGCAAACTAACTAAAGACAGGAGCGTAGAAATCGGCTGACGGAAAAAAGACCCAGTGCCCTCTGAGTTATTTTTTTTTTAATATTTTTGTCAGACGGTGGGAGCTTTATCCGAAGCACGTTTAGACTCAGTTACTGATGAAACATGGCCTTCCTTCATTTGGGGGAGGGACCCTTCCTGCTCTGGGCCAAGCTGGGCCTGTCCTAAGTGCCCCCAGCCGGGGGGGGGGCTCAGCTGGCACAGGGACGGGGAGGGCAGCTATTGGAGGGAGGCTGTTTTAGACTGCTGGAACAGGCAGCCTCCCCAAGGAGAAAGACCCACCAGCCCCTGCTGCTCCTGGAGGAGGGCAGTCACCCAGCAGGAACCAAAGCTTCTCCCTGCTTCAGGCACGCCCAGGGCCCCGATCCACCCAAACAGGCAGCAGAAGGCAGGAAGGCAGATGGTTGGCCAGCCGTGATCTCCAGAGGACCCGAGCAGCCGTCTGGGTGGGTGGGGTGGGGCTGCAGAGCCACTGCTGGCCTCTTGCTGGACCGGTCCCCAGCACCCCACACCCAGCACTCGGGGCCCAGGTTGTCAGACACTCGGCATCCTTGCATCCTTCAGGACTGGCAACAAGGGGGCGCCCTAAGCCAGGTCTGCTTCCCAGCCAGTCACTGGGAGGTGCCCCACTGCCAGGCACAAAGTTCGCTGGGCTGGTTGATTTAGAGTAGGTGCAGGAAGAAGCCTCCAGGGCAGGTTGGCACAATCCTGGGGCTGAAGGATTGGCACCAGGCTCCAGAGGCGGGAGGGGTGTTGCCGAGGGAGCTCACCTTAAGCAGCTGGCTTAACAGGCAGCCAAATTCCCCTGACGGGGCTGAGCTGGGTGGGAAGGCCTCCATTGGGTTAGTGGAGGCCCCAGCAAGGCTGCGCAGCTGGTCTTGGTGGAGCAGAGAGGGGAAGAGGAGGAGGAGAAGGAGGGAAGGTCCATGGTTCAGAGTTCCTGGGCCTGACCTGCTATCTCCAGGCCTCCTGTCCTCGGCTGAGGATCCCTTTTCTAGGCCAGACCTGAAGCTGCTCTGCCCTGAAGGAAACCGCGTCGGGGACCCCGAGGGAAGAAGGCAAGCCCCTTCCAGCCTTGGGAGTCCCAAGTGCAGCTGCCGCTTCCCAAAGTCTGGGAACGTGTGCAGCCGTTCCCTCTGAATCCACGCTTTGTCGCGGCCTTGGGCTGTCCCTGGTGGATCTGCCCCAGAGGCCTCCGAGGCTCCCAGAAGACAAACTCCCCCACCTCTCTGGTGGCTCTCGCAAGACCAACCTCAACCCTCTCCTGGGGCATGGGATCTCTGCTTCTTAGCCAGGAGCCTAGCCTTGTCTCAGCTCAAGGCCAGTGCTGTGCTTTGCCCCCTTCCCCTGGCCATCCCCCCTCCCGTCATTGGCCATGACCCCCATCCGTCAGATGAGGAGCACGAGGAGCCGTCCTCCATTCGGCCAAGGGAGTCCTGGCAACGGAGCAGATGGGACCAAAACGTGACAGGGTGATGGGGTCCCTTAATTCCTCAGAGGGGGCAGTGCTGGGGGACTCCATTGGCCCTGGGTGTGTGTGTGGAAAGCAGGGCCTGGTGGGGCAGGGGTGCAGCTGTCTTAGCTGGAGGCATTGCAGACGGTGTCTGCCTGGTGGCATACAGAGGCGAGAGCGAGGTGGGCACTCCCAGCAGGAACTCCATGGTGGATATGCAGCCCACCTACAACTGGGCCAGACTCAGTACAACCGAGCGAGTGTCGCCTCCTGCACAGGAAAGTCAAGTCGCCCTGTGCGGCCCCACTGCGTCCCTGCCTTGGGTGGAAGGAGGGAAAGGAGGAGAGGAGGAGGCCACCACTGTGCAATTGCCGAAGTGGCGCCACACTCGCTTGGCCAGCCTTACAAGATGCTGCTCACTGGGAAGACTACAGAGGCTGCTAGGGAGGCTGGTATGTCCCACCCTCGGCGGGACACGGGGCCTCCTGCGTAGAGTGCGGGAGGCGGAAGAGGCTCAGCCATCCTTTTGTTCTCTGGCAGGGCTGACATCTCCTCCTCCTCTCTTGCAGGCCCTCCCGCAGCCCCTGCTGCTGTCCATGTGACTGCCATGCTACCCTGCCGGAAGCGCAGCCTGTGCCGCTCAGCCCAGGTACTGGTGGGGCTCTTGTGCAGCCTGGCCACCCTCTTGGTGCTTGGCTTCCTGACTGGCAGCCACCATGAGGCTCTGCTCTCACGCTCACTGCCTTTCCGGATGGGCGGCGGTGTGGGGCAGCAACACATAGGCAACCTGCTTCTGCCACCACCCAATGCTTTCCCACTGTCCCCATCACCCTGTACCCCGACCGACCCCTGGCTACTGGTCCTAGTGGCCAGCGCACCTGGGCATGCAGCCCGGCGGGCAGTGGTGCGGCAAAGCTGGGCAGTTACGAGGGTGGCAGCGGGGCACCGTGTGCGCACAGTCTTCACGTTGGGTCTGCCTGGGGATGGAGCACAGCAGGCAGCACTGGAGCACGAGGCGGCCGAGCACAGCGATCTGTTGCAGGCACGCTTTGCTGATACCTATGCAAACCTAACATTGAAGACGCTAGCAATGCTGGGCTGGGCCATTGCCCACTGCCCTGCTGCCCACTTCCTGGTCAAGGCTGATGATGACGTCTTCCTCAACCTGCCTGCCCTGGCGCGACGCCTGGAGCAGCTGGACAGTCTGCCTGCTGCCTACCTGGGCCAGGTCTACTCGAACGTGGCACCCATCCGCAATCCGCAGAGCCGGCACTACTTGCCCATCTCGCTCTACCCGGAACCCACTTTCCCACCCTACTGCAGCGGCACTGCCTATGTGCTCTCTGCCCCAGCTGCTGCCGCTGTCCTGCATGCTGCCCGCCAGCTGCCACTGCTGCCTGTGGAGGATGTGTTTGTGGCAATGTGTGCCCACCATGCTGGCATTGCCCCAAGCCATGTGGACCATTTTTCCGGGGCTTCTCACTACCCACTCGATGCCTGCTGCTATCGGGAGGTACTCTTCAGTGTGCACGAAGTGGTACCTGCTGAGATGCTGGCCATGTGGGAGGCATCTGAGCCCCTGTGCACCACCTGGCAGCACTTCTTTGGCCTGGCCCGCTGCAAGGTACTGGCCTGGCTAGCCATGGAGGATAACCCGTGACTGTTGACCTTCCCATCCACGTCTTTGGACAAGCAAAGGGAGTGACTGACTCACAGAAGCACTGCCGGGAACTCCATCTAGGACTGTGCAGCCGCCTGCCTGGCAGCTGAGCTTCCCTCTTGGGAGTGTGGGTCGAGGCGCTGGCAGCTGTGAAAGTGCCAGGCTGCCCTTGTTGACTGGCCAATGTGGGCCTTACGCTGAAAAGCTGAAGGGCAAAGGGTCCTGCTTGGACAGATTGCCTGCCTGGTTTGTGTTTTTTAGGGGTTGTTCATCCCTGATTCGGGTGCCAATTTTGGCAATGGGGGGCCAAAGTGGACTTTTCACAGCATCAGCCGCAAGGGAGAGGTCCCACAGAATGCGTGTGGGGTCTGAGCGGCCAGATGGACACAAATGAGTGGGCGTGGCTGGATCGGCACAGAACAATTCACATTGGCTAAATGGACATGGGGACAACTCAGGGAGAATGCTGGGCACTTGCACAAATACGCACACACTCGTACGCCATTCCGAGTTTGGGGACGTTTATCCCCATCTGTGCTGGGAAGCTACCAATCGTGCCCAGGCTTGGGGAGAACAATTTCTCCTTTGGGACTTTCATTGTTCATTTCCCCCTTCAGTGTTTCTTTTGCAAACTTCTCCAAAATTAACTTTTCATGCCCTGTGGCGGCTCTGGGCCTCTCCCTGCCCATCCGTGATCTGTGTCTTACTGGCAACTTGTGGTGCCAGGATGATGCAAGTCCCCAAGATTGGAATGGGGTGTATGTGTGAGGGTGAGGTTCAACTTGCCGGTTGGTTTCCCAACGTTTCATTACCAGGTTGGGTAACACCTTCAATGTAGTTTTAGGGGATAGTCAATGTCAGCGTTCCTCTGCTTCGTGTGGTCAACAGGTCTTGTGATGGGGAGGTCACGTCAGGTGAGGGTCACATTGGGTTAAGATCTCATGATGGAGTGGTCATGTCAGGTGAAGTGTGTGTCTGTGTGCTTGGCTATAGGCAGTTCTGGGAGGTGAGGAGCTGGTAGGGTGCTGAGTTGTCCCCAGGTCCAGTTAGCCAGTGCGACTTGTTTTGCGTTGACCCAGCCACATGCACCCAGCTGCACCTAGCTAGCTCCACCCAGCTGGCCTGGCCGAGTCGGTGGTGCTCAGCCAAGCCAGCCGTGTCCACTTCTTCACACCCAACCAGCCACGCTCACCCATCTGCGCCCTCCTAGTCATGCCACCCATCCACGCTGACCTGTCTGGCATGAGTTGTGTTAGACCTAGACCCACATCTTGTCAGTGGGGGAATCCATTATATTAAGCCAGAATATGAAGGACTTGTGAAGGCAGCAACTGTGGTCTCTTAGCTGGGAATTGCCCAGATCCACCTGTGCATGGGGGGGGGGAGCTGCAGCCCTTGGGGAAGGGAGGCCCGCTGGGGCAGGAAACCCTCTGCAGTGTCCAATGCCCGGGAATACTTTTGGGGGTGCTACTTTGGCCCCCTCCTCCCAAGAATACTTTATGCCCCCTGGGAGCCCCCATTCTTTGCCCGCTGCCAAAGGGTGGGAAGCAGAGGCAGCCCTCTGTTGTCTCCTGCTGTTCTTGATCTTTTGAAAGATCAACATCCTACACACAACACATCTACAAATCACAACAGTGTATTAATGCAAGGCTCTGAATATAATAAACCCAAGAGTTTCAGGGAGGGTCCAACCGGTCCAGCCCTTAAGGAAAACCATCCAGACAATCCTCTTACGCACCGTGGGAATGCTGGAATACATTGGCAGCTATTTCTGGAAGCGATCCAGCGTTGACCTGTAGACTACAGGGCCCCCAGCCTCGGGGGTTGCTGGCTGCTTATCTGCCTGGGTAGAACTTCTGGATCAGGGCCTGCTGAGAGAACAGGCAAAGCCCTCCCGAGGACTCACAAGCTCCAGAGTTAGGACACAACCAAACAGGTAGTCCTCCAGTTATGCCCCCCCCCAGAAAAGTACTTACGACATTCATAACGTCCCGAAGTTATGAATGTTGCAGCATCATGGCAGTCATTCACCATTAGGACACTGCGACATTCCCCCTGCCTTTCCCCCCCTCCCCATTAGGGATCCAACAGGCACTGGCCCGCTATGTTAGCCCACCCTGTTACCAATTACCAATTGCTTGCTTTCGAAGATGCAGAGTTCTCCCCAAGCGAGCCGTCTCTTTTCCGGCTTCTGTACCATGGGGGTCATGCAGCAGCACGGTTACTCTGCCAGCTCCCGGCCCTCCAAAAGTGGAGCAATGAGAGCAGTGCTTCCTGCCCAGTTTTGCTGACTCCCCAAGACTGCATATGCAGGACATCCAATCTGCTTCTGGAGCGCCAGGCAGCCTTGGTGAGTCTGAAGGTGTGTGAGAACGCATCCCTGAAGGCTTCCGTTTTTCATATCAAAAGTTTTTGCAAAGGAATGGAAGCCTTCGGAGGGACAATCTCACACCGACTCAGACCTCCATCCCTTTCCAAATCTTCTGGCGCAGAGGGCGGAGGCCTGAGAAAGAGCGTAGGATCGCGGCCCCCAATGCTTCTGTCCTCCACGCCAAAAATGTTTACGAAGGGACGGGGGCCCGAAGGGGTGCGAGATCGTGGCTCCGAAGGCTTCCGTCCCTTTGCGAAATCTTTTGGTGTAGAGGGTGGAGGCCTCAAGCAGCACGAGAGTGTGGCTCTGTAGGCTTCTGTCGTCCGTGGCAAAAGGTTTTGCAAAGGGACGGAAGCCTGGAGCAGCGTGAGATTGTGCCTCTGAAGATCTCCGTCGTCCCTTTTGGCGTGGAGAACAGAAGCCTTCAGGGGTGCAACCTCGCACTCCTTCAGACTCACTGAGGCTCCAAAAGCAGATTGGGTGTCCCGAACAGGCAGCCTCAGTGAGTCAACGAAGCCGGGCGTGTTTGTCCCACGCTGCCTCTGCATTCTCCTCCACTCCTCTTTTGAAGCACTGGGAGGAGACAAACATACCACACACTGCAGGGAGGCTGGAGAGGAGATGGTTTGGAGATCTTGGAAAGGTAAGTCCCAGGTCCTGTGATGACCCAGTGGGGGGAGGGGGCAGGATAGAGGTGGGTGGGTAGGAAGCATGAGATATCTCACTAGGTGGTGGGGAGGCCTTGGGTGGTCCCAGGCTTCCCCACCCGGCAATACTTCACATGCACTTAACGGCCTGTGCATTCGGTTAGGTAAGGGATCGCGTTCATTTAACTTGACCCGATTAATGAATCCTTGGGTTACAAATGTAATTTGCAGGCTCCATTCCATTCGTAACTAGAGGATTACCCGGTAACCGTTGAAGATTATTCCTGAGTCGAATGTAAGCACATTCCTGTGCTGGGTTTTATTAAAAATAAACCTTTGGCAACTACCTTGTCAGTCCTGCCTCAGCTGGGACTTCTAAAGTAGGGGTACTCACACTTGGCCGCTTTAAGACTTGTGGACTTCAACCCCCATGCTGGCTGGGGAATTCTGGGAGTTGAAGTCCACAAGTCTTAAAGCGCCCAAGTGTGAGTACCCCTGCTCTAAAGATTAAAAAAAAATGATCCTTCACACCGTATGGTTGAGAAAGGCGATCAATGCCAAGCTGGAGCCAAAGGCTTGCACCCCAAAATCCCCATGTAGCTTTTCCCTCTGGAAGGCGGAAGGGATCCCATAACTGGGATCAAATTCGAGGCGAATCAAATTCAAGAGAGATGTTTTTAGAACAGTCTCCTGAGGAATGCAGCTGCGCTCATTTCCCAAGGCGTTGTTGACCTCAAGATGGAGAGGACTGGAAACTTTCTCTCTCTCTCTGAAGTAAGCTCCTCCTCTCCTCCCCCCTCCCCATTAGGCCCCAGAGAGTAACACCGCTTCTTGAGGTGTAGTAGCAAAGCACTGGGGTGGTGTCACATCCTGTGTGTGTCAGCAGGGAGGGGAAGGGGGGTGTTTCTGGGAATTCTTGCGATCCAAGGAGGAGGAGGGGGGGAGGGTGGCTCCTTCTCCATGGGCAGCTGGGGGCTCTTGGGGAGGGGGAGGATTTCTCAGCCCCTCCCCTCCTGCAGGGAACATGCTCAAGCCCCTCCTCCAGTTAAACTCCAGAGGCATTAACACCCTCCCATGCACACACACACTTACTTTCCTGTCCTGGGGGAGGTGGGCAGAGAAGCACCCAGAATTTCCTAAGCAAGGGGACTTTTTGCAAACGTGTGTGTGTGTGTGTGTGTGTGTTGCCCAGGGGCCAGACAAGAGAACAAGGGAAGCCACACCGGGGTCTGGCTTTGTTGGCTCCCCATCTGTTCTGTCCCTTCAACCACAGCCCGGCCAGCCCAGGGGCTCTCGTGGGGTCCCCGCCCTCCTGGGCTGGGCTTGTGAATCAGCAAGCCTGGAGACCCATAGCCCCCCCCACCTTGCGCTCCTGAGCCCCTCCCATCCCTGCCAGTCCCCCAAGACCGAGGCCTCCCCCCAAACAAACTGGGCAACAGCAAGAGAAAAACCCGGTTCGACCCCCCACACACACACTTTGAGGGTGCCCCCCACCTTCCCACTTGGGGCGCCCTTCAGTGGGAATCGGGGCGTCGTTTCTTAAGGGGGGGGGGAGAAAGCGGAGCTCACCTTCCGTGCGAAGCTGCTTCGCCCCTTCAGAAGGCAGCAGGGCCGCCCCCTCCGGAGGGACTCCGGTGGGTGGGGCCCAAGGCGGGGAGGAGGGGCGCCCCTTCCCAGGAGCCTGAACCGGGGACGCAGCTTTCCCACGCGCTGAGACGCAGCCCCGCCCGGAGCGGAGCAGAGGATGGGCCCCCGCGGCGCCCCTCCCCCCGCGGCACTTTCTCCTCCTCTTCCTCCTCCTCTGCAGAGCAGCCCCCCCTTCCGCGGCCTGGGGGGCTAAGCGGCCGCAGAAGCAACCGGGGGGGGCCTGAGCTTTCGGTTTGGTTTCCCAGCTAGAGGGGGAAGCAGTGGGAAGCCCCTCGGGAAGATCCCCCCCCCGCGTGGAGCGCTAAGCCGCCCCTCCCGCCCGGCTGCTCTCCTCCGGGGGGCTCTCGGGAGCTCTCGCGGGCCTTTCCAGGCCACGGGGGGGGGTTGTGGGGGACGGACGCTGGATGCCTCCGCAGATGTTGAGAGTTTGGGGAAAAAAATCAGAGAAGAGCAACTAAGGCAGGGGTAGGCAACCTTGGCTCTTTTATGACTCGTGGACTTCAACTCCCAGAATTCCTGAGCCAGCCATGTATGGCTGGCTCAGGAATTCTGGGAGTTGAAGTCCACGAGCCATAAAAGAGCCTAGGTTGCCTACCCCTGAACTAAGGTGACTAGGGAGACTAAAACATACGGCTGCAGGACTTGGGTCTGGCTAGTCTAAGCAAAAGAAGAAATAGGGGGGACATGACAGCAGCGTTCCGGTATTTTGAGGGGCTGCCAAGACGGGAGGGGGGGCAGGTTGTTCTCCAAAGCACCAGAGGGCAGGTCGAGAAACAACGGTTGGAAGCTGATGCAAAGAGAGAAGCAACCTGGAGGACAATTAAGCAGTGGAACAGCTGGCCACCAGAAATCGTGAGCGCTCCATCACTGGATGGAGAAGAGACGCTAGACATCCACCTGTCTGAGATGGCATAGATTCTCCTGCTTGAGCAGGGGGCTGGACTAGAAGACCTCCAAGGTCCCTTCCAGCTTCTATTCTATTCTATTCTATTCTATTCTATTCTATTCTATTCTATTCTATTCTATTCCACTCCCTTGCCCACCCTCATGTGGGATTTCCCCTCTCATCCTCCCGGAATAACACCGTCGTGGGTAGAAGCGCCCGGGATTCACTTCGTGGCGCCCGACGCTCCAAGAGGGGTCAAAAAAGTCAAGATGGCGGCCAGTTCAAACTCACGGAGTGGAGGAGGAGCCTCCCTCGTGGGAGTGGGAGTGTGTGGGGAAGGGGGGGCGCTTCCCTGGGGTCTCGAACCAGCCCTCCCGGGGGCCGCTCAGGGAAGGCTTTGGCGAAGACCCCGCCGAGCCCCCTTCTCGGACTTCCTCCCCGGAGGCCGAGGACTGCCCGGGACCCCCCCTTCCGCCTGGCCAGCCAGGGGTCTGCGCCCCTTCCCCACGTGCTGGGAGGCGGGGGTTTCAGCACCTGGACAGCGCCCTCCGCTGGACAGAGGGGGGAGGGCAGAGAGCGGAGTCCTAGAGCGGTCGCCTCGGGAAGCGCTTGCTGCTCACCCCCCTGACCCCCCTTGGAAAGGCACCCGGGGCAGCTGCCCCCCCCTGAGCGTCCGAGAGGGCTACCGGAGGGGGGTCGGGGTCAGTGGGCGGAGAGCCAGTGCACCCCAAGACTGGTGGGGGAGTCTCTGCTCAAGTTGTTTCAAGGTTTTGCGGGAGCCACGCGAGCCCCTCCTGCTCTTTCAGGACCGCGCCAGTTGCACCCGCTGGGGGAGGCTCCGGAGCAGGGCTCCATTCGGGGTGGACTGCTCCTGCAAGGGGAGGTTCCGCACGAAGTGTTTATGGGGGGGCTTAGAAGCTCCGGGTGGCTGTTGCTGTGGCAGCTTGGAGTAAGGGGGTGTCGGATGGGGCCCAGGAGGCAGGGAAACCCCCCTTCCTTATCTACAGAAGACACGTCCACCGGCCGCAGCCACAACTAAGGGGGTGTGTGGTGGGGCCCAGGCCCAAGAGAGCAGCTTACAGCTGCTTCCCCATCAGCTGTGGGTTAGGACGATCACATCCATGGTTCCCTGCTGGTATGGCAGTTACGGCCTTGCCTGCAATTCCCCCCCCCCCGCCCCAGGGGCTAAAGACTGTCATGTTTCAAGTTGCCTGACCTGAGTGTATTCTGACTCTCTCAAAGCGTCCCCCATTCAGACGAAGGGCTTGAACAACCCTTGATCTGGGAGGGGCTGAGCCTTCCTGCTCTGGGCAGGGCTTTGACTGGATGGCCTCCAGGGTCCCTAGGAGTCTTTGTCACTCTTGCCCCAAAGGAAGAGCCTCCAAGGGATGGCCCCAAGCGGGAGGCCTGGCAGCAGTGCAGCCCCAGGTTCAAAGTGCCTCAGAAGGGGAGCCAAAGGAAGCAAGTCTATCCGGGGCAGCCGCTCTGCCTGGGGCGCCAGCTCCCCCCCAGCCCCCCAAGGCTCCTGCAGATGCCCCAAGAGGAGTGGGGAAGAGCCTGGAAGACCCCCGAGTCCCCTAGAGCAGGGGTGTGAGGGCCCACTTCAAAACCTCATCCCAAGAAAGCAGAACTCATGAAAGTGGTTTCTTCCAAAAGGATCTTTTATTAGGAGAAGCTGATAGCAGGCATACTAGACAGGATCTGAGCATTTCCCGCTCAGATCGATAGGCAAAAGTGTCCCAAGCAAAAACCCCACCCCATAGTAGTTCATCCAGTCAGTTCAAATGGCCCAATCCCCAGGTGTTAGGTTTTCCGCTGTAGCTGCGATGTTTGCTCTTCTCACCTTCTCTGGAAACACGGAGATAACCCTGTCGCCCCACAGGTTGCGTTCCATTCTTCCCCTCCCTTTTCCTAGCTGACAGTAAGGCATGGGAAAGTTCACAGAGCAATATCGCAGGAAATCGAAGTGTGACATGATTAGAGCAATAGAGGAAGCCAACACAATAACGCTCAAACACTCCCCCCCCTCCCGTCTAGGAGTATGGCAGAACCCAGGATGAGAAGAGAGTGAGATTCGGATCAGGAGAAAGAAATAGTAGAAGCGGGAGGATTTGTTGATACGGGTTCTGACAAGGGGTGTGCAACCTTGACCACTTTTAAGACTTCTGGACTTCAGCTCCCAGAATTCCTCAGCCAGCTCTGCTGGCTGAGGAATTCTAGGAGCTGAAGTCCACAAGTCTTAAAAGTGGTCAGGTTGCACACCCCTGCCCTAGAGAGCCATGCATGTGGGCGGGGCATCCCTCCCCACCCAAAGGGGCTGGGCGCTAAGGGAAGGGGTGGGTGGGCAGCCAGCACCTTCCTTATTTCTAATCCGTTTATAGGATACGTGAGCCCAAAAAAAGGAGAAATCCCACATCTTTGCAGCTAAAGAACCTCCTGTGACTTTTAACTCTGGGGAGTTTGGGCCACCTATATTAAAACCAGGAGTAACCAACTTTGGCCCTTTGACGACTGGTGGACTTCAACTCCCAGAATTCTTGAGCCAGCATGGGGAGGGGCTTTTTCCCCAGGGGGGGCTCTGGGCATCCAGAGGGGCCTGTCCCATATTGACGGCCATCACCCCTTCCGGCCTTCAGCCCTTTGGGGTCAAGGGGGCTCTGTGTGCGGATTAGATGCCTTTTACACTGGGGACCTCTCAGTTTTTAAACCATTTTATTGCCGTCAAGTGTCGGTCACCTCCTGAGCTTTTTCTGCTGGACAAGAGAGGCAGGCTGGCTGGCTGGAGTCCGTATGGATGGCCCCTCCCCCAAAGAGGCCTCATCCTGGGGGGGGAGGGCTGCAAGGGCTTTGTCCAGGCAGGACCTGCTCTTACTGGCATCTGGAAGGACCTCCCCCCCCCCCGCCTGCCTAAGGGTGGTCTGCCCACGTCCCCCCAGAACCCAGCCCCTCCTTGGGGTGCCAGAATTTTTTGGGTGTGGGGGGGAGAGAAATGGCTGACAAACCAGAATGTCTGGGAAAGGAATGGGAGGGGGGGGCTTGAAGGCCACAGCTGGCTGAGTTTTCCCAGCAGGGTCAACCAATAATACAGGCTCGGAGGAGGGAGGTTCCGTTCAGCTGTTTATTTCTGCAGAAAGAGGAAATTCACCCCTGGGAGGGGGGGGCAAAATCACGAGCTTCAGATGCGACCTTTCTGGTAGCACACGTTTCCTGTGTTAGTTTCCTGTGTTAGTTTCAGTGTGTACCCCTGGTTAATTGCCTTTCTCCTTCTGGGTCAGGGGTCTTCCGACTTGGCCCCTGGATGACTTGTGGACTTCAACTCCCAAAATTCCTCAGCCAGGCACGCCAAATTCCTCATCCAAGGGCCAAGTTGGAAGACCCCTGTTCTAGGTACATTTGGGGTCAGTGAAATGTTCTTAATCTTACCGTTTCCTGATGCACAGCTGCAGTTTTTGTCAGTTTGGCAAGGCAGTCACCAAAACACAAGACAGGTCTTGCGGGTGATTCAACCAGTTCTCACGGCTCGTTTCTAGGCAGTTTCAATCCCGTCCTGGCTGACAGGCCACAGAACGGCTGGCTGTCTGAGGAGGAGATGTGGCTGGGGTGAGGTGGGCAGGAAATAGTTCAATATATCTATATCTTAATAGGAATGCTTGTTGCTGATAATAGTTAATAGATAATATTAAGTTTGGCTGTGAAATGTAACCTAAATCATATAACCTGTGTGTCATAATTATAGAGATGTGTTCATGCTATGTAGAAACCATTTTACAAGAAGTGTCAGTGTCAACTAAAAGTCACAGATGTTGTAAGATAGCACCCGTGCAGAAAGGTGTGGTAAGACAACCGTTTGTGTGAACTTCTCCTTTTTCCTTGTGTAGCCTCAAGATATAAACTTCTCTGTTTTAGTGTGTTAAAGGTGGATAAGAAGTCATCTATTAGGTTAAGCGTGGGCGGCAAGCTGTATAAAAGTGACACCCTCAGAGTAACTCAGGGTTCAGAATTTGTCATGCTAATACTCTGAACCATCGTGCACGAATAAAAACCTGTTTTCTCCAACCCTTCGTGGTCTTGTCTTCTGATGTAAGTATCGTGGTTTTTCCCACAACAATTATCTGGCGACGGCGGCAGGACGGCAAGGAGTCTTGGGGCTCTCTGGAGGGCACACCCTGATGCCAGGGGCCTGTAGTGTTAGGGGGAACATCCCAGGCGCCATCGGACCTTTTACTCCGAGGGACTTCCCTGTGACACAGGGCTCCAGCATTGGCGGTCGGCCACTCCAAGAACCACTGGTGAAGGGTAAGGAGACCAGGCAACTTTCCAGCCGGCTAGAGGACAAAGGATTCGCCTGCAGGCAAGTATTGAAAGGGAAATAAGGAATCCCTCCCTGTAAGCAGGGACGGAGGAGAGGACTGATCACCCTCTCTTTGGAATAAGGTGGGAGGATTGTTGTGTGTGTTTGCAGTGAGTGAGTGGCGCTCGAACTTCCCATCGGTGACCGTTGAGTTTCCGGCTCCCTGGGTCTAGCGCGTATAAGTGAAACCCTCAGTGTAATCCCGAGTGGAAGGACCCCTTACCTTCCTCTCATCCCCTTTCCTCATTTGTCTTGTCTGGTGCCCTGGGATGCTCATGGGGTGATGGTGAAATTGTACTCCTTACTCCATTGGGGTGTATGTTAAAGTATTTTAAGTCTGCTTATGAGGATCAGGATTGTGGTATTAAGTGGAGCAGGCATAAGTTGAGGATCTTCTGTGAGGTAGATTGGCCCAGCTTTAATATAGGCTGGCCAAGCACAGGGACACTAGATCCATTCATTGCTCTAAAAGTACATTAGTTAGTGTTCAATCCCATGTTAGGGCACCCAGACCAGGCACCCTATATTGATGTGTGGCTCGGCTTGTTGCAAACACCTCCACCATGGATTCAGAAATGCAAAACTGTTCCCTATGTTAAAAAGTTTAGAAGATAGAAAAAGCTGGGGACAAGCTATAATCCAACCAGATGTCCAGGATCAAGGGACCCAAACTGGACCTTCAGCAAGAGGTGCTGAGGGGGTCCAAGGCAGAGGAGGAACCGATGGGACTGCAAACAGAAGACAGAGAAGTGGGAGGACTGATAGCTGAACAAACGAGGACAAAGACTGAGGAAGCATCTTTGAATGCTCCTCTTAGACAAGTAGATCAATTGGTTGTCAGTAAGGATGATCCAGCAGAAACAGCCACAGCTCCTCTATTCCAACATATGCCTTTTACTACATCAGACCTTCTTGCTTGGAAATTTAGTGGAAAAAAACAAATCAAGTGTCCGAAAGACTTTTGTGAATAGAGAGAAGGAGGAGGAAAAGAAAAAGGATCAGAAAATGCAAAGGAAAGCTGAATTGCTGGCAGTTGCTATGATGGGGGTGTCAAGGGGAGGTGGCAGAGGTAGAGGATGGGGAAGGGTGTTAGGACAAAACCAGTGTGCCATATGTAAGAAGGAAGGACACTGGAAGGGTGAATGTCCAGAAAGAGAAAAGGATGAAGAAAAAGGAGGGGGAAGAGGCAGGTTTGCGAAGAGCTACAGAGGTGGCCCAAGGAGAAGCCAGGGAGGGAGAGAAAGAAGAAGAGGATTTTCAAGGACTCCCCTCATAGGCCTGGCAGAAGCAGAGGAGTGGGACTGAGACCGACTGGGTTCAGCCCGCCTCCCAGAACCTGTGGTCAGTTTAACAGTAGGAGGCAAACCTATTCCCTTCCTTGTGAATACTGGAGCCACCCGATCAGTCCTAACCCAACCCCTAAGCCAAGCCTCCCCTCACTCTATCAACATACAAGGAGCAACAGGAAAAATATTGCAGCGACCCTTTTTGGAGCCCTTAAGCTGCACTAGGGGAGGAAAAACTATAACCCATCAGTTTGAATATATGCCAATTGTATTGGAAGGGATCTGCTTTGTAAACTAAGGGTGCAGATCTCCTTTGAAGAGGATGGCACAATGGCCATAAAATATGGAAAGGTGATGATGGAAGTACCCCGTGCAGAGGAATGGAGAATGGTGATGCTGGCACAAGCAGTAGAAGCAAATACAAAGTGGAAAGAGTTCAATATGCCACACCTGTGGGCAGAGGACAACCCCCCCCCCGGTTTTGCAAGGCATCATCCACTATCTGCCAGCTGCTGTACTGAAGAATAGGAAAGAGTTAAGAGGATTTTTTAGTTGCTGCTGGCTTCTGCCGAATATGGATCCCTACCTTTAGTTTAATAGCAAGATCCCTAAATGAGGCCACAAAGGGGGGGAGATAAAGAACCATTGCGATAGGAACAGCAAGAAAATAACAGCTTCACCGCTCTCAAGGAGGCTCTAATGTGTGCCCCTAGTTTAGGTCTACTAGACTTGGAAAAGTTATTTCAACTGTTTGTAGATACAAAGCAAAATGTGGCAGTAGGAGTTCTCACCCAGAAAATAGGAACCTGGCATCACCCGGTCACTTATCTGTCTAAACAGCTTGACAACGTAGCCAGAGGATGGCTGGCTTGCCTTAAAGCAAGTGCTGGAACAGCGTTATTAACACAGGAAGCTAACAAGTTGACTTTTGGACAAAAGTTAGATATCTACACACCCCATGCTCTTAAAGCTGTCTTAGAAGCAAAAGGACATTTGTGGCTGACCAACCCATGCATGCTGAAGTATCAAGCTCTAATAATACATAATCCAATGATTATATTAATTCAATCAAACTCACTGAATCCAGCCATGCTGTTGCCTGAATCAGACTTGGAAACCACACATAATTGCATACAAGCTATTGAAGAAACTTACGCTAGCCGCTCAGACATGAGAGATGTCCCCCTGCTTGATCCAGACTTTACAATATACACGGGTAGAAATAGTTTTATGCAAGAAGACATTCGAAAGGCAGGATGTGCTGTGGTGATTTTGGAGGAAGTATGGGAAGCTGAGCAACTTCCGCCCGGTACAAATGCTCAGCTAGCTGACCTGCATGCATTAACTAGAGCTTTGGAGTTGGCAAAAGGAAAGTGCATCAATATTTACACAGACTCTAAGTATGCATTCCTAACAGTGCAAGTCCATGGAGCCTTATACAAAGTAAGAGGACTTATAACTTCAGGGGGAAAGGATGTTAAATATGGACCACAGATATTGCGTCTGCTGAATAGTGTGTGGGAGCCTAAGGAAGTCGCTGTAATGCATTGCAAAGGCCATCAGAAGGGAGCTTCAGATATTCAATTAGGAAATAATAAGGCAGACAGGGAAGCTCACATTGCTGCACTAAAGGCACCTTCTGAGCATACAAATTGTCTAGCTTTGTGGACCCCTGAGGAACAGGAACAGGGTAAACCAGACTACTCTCAGGAAGACTTGGACAAAGCTGAGATGCTGGAAGCAAGGCAGGAAGATGGTTGATGGATTTTGCCAGACCAGCGAGTCTTTATCCCAGGATATATGGCATGGGATGCAGTGCAACAGGTTCATAAGCAACTGCACCTGGGAAGGGCGGCACTGGCAAATGCCCTGAAGAGAGAGGTCTATATTGACAAAATACACAGGATTGCAGCAAATGTTTGTGCTAGATGTGAGATCTGTTCCACCAACAACCCAAGGCAAGGACCCCAACTGCCTCAAGAACATCAGCCCAGAGGAAATTATCCCTTCGATTCCTTGATGATTGATTTCACTGACATGCCATGCTCAGGTCCCTATAACGCAATGCTAGTCATAGTATGTACATACACTGGATGGCCGGATTGCATCCCTACAAGGAAGAAAAGAAAAAGAAAAAAAAAAAAGCAACTGAGGTCGCAAAAGCCTTGCTTCATATTATTATTCCCAGGTATGGGTTGCCATCTAGAATCTCTTCAGATAATGGTCCTGAATTTATCCATAGAGCCACCCAAAAGATAGCAGCTATGCTAGGAATAACATGGAAGCTTGATTGTAGTTTCCATGCTCAATCAGGAGGAAGGATGGAGAGAATACATAGACCATTAAGGAAAAATTGGCAAAAATATGTCAGGAGACTCAGCTTAAGTGACCAGATGCTTTAAATATGGCCCTGGTTGTGGTAAGGTGTGCCCCACAAAGGGAGCTGCTCGTGTCTCCCTTTGAATTATTGTATGGCAGAGTCCCCAACTTACTTAAACCAGGTGTCCAGAACTCTGAACAAGTGGCAGATACTGTTAAATTAGAACAGCTGCAGACTCTTAACACTATAGTCCAGTGGCTACACCAATATGTTCTAACCCAAAGACCCCATGTCTTGGTTACACTAACAAATAATATACCACCGGGACAGGAGGTCTGGGTAAAGGATTGGAAGAGGGAGGTCTTAAGCCCAAAGTGGAAAAGGGCTGTATACTGTTGTTATGTGTTCTCCCCTTGCTATTAAGGTGGCTGAGATCAAATTGTGGATCCATTGGTCCAGGGTTAAATTGGCAGCCCCCACCCAATGGAAAATGAATATAACCCAACTCAACCCTTTAAGCTATCTCTGCATCGTAGGAGAAGGAGCCTCTCCCCTTCTGGTGACACCCCGGACGCTGCACCCCTGCGAACGGGAGAGGTGAAGCAAACCCCTGCAGGTGTTACTCCGGAAGCTAACACCCATCGCACGGGCAACAAAAGGTCCCTACCTTGGAAACTGCGTTCACATCATTAGTCTTAAAAGTCTTTTTAATTGGTTATGGATTCCACCCAGAGGATGAGGGAAACTGCCTGTATTAGGAAAGGGCTCATCCCAACAATTTGGGTGGTGGTAATGTTGTTAATCACTGTTATAATTAACTCTCTGTTTCTGTATAGAGGGATCACAGTCAAAGAGAAGGGGGTTGAGGGTGTGCCTGAGGACTGGCTAATTGAACCCGATGATCTGAATATCAGTAAGGCTGTCACCCCATCCCCCACTTTAAGTTCTCCGGAACCTGTATCAACCTCTGTGGGACAGGGTCTTTCCACAAGGGAGGGAGATCATAAGGGAGTAAGTGGTGATGAATATCTCTTGGGGGACCCACGACCTTACCCTTCAGACCACGTCCCTCCTTGTGATGAATGTTTTGTAGACCTTCCTACAGGGAGACACTTTGTTTATATGGCTTTGGTATTGAGGGAACTGGTGAAGACCCTAAGACCTACCTCATGGTCCAAGTAGAACGAATCTATGATGGGCAAATTAGGTCTTTAGGCTGGTCTGTATAATCTGAAGAAGCTAGAAGATGACCCCCTCCCTATAAGTACAACAGCTATTAATTTGTTTATTGAAATGGCTGAGGAGGTGGCAAAAACACTCACTATAAAGAATTGTTTTGTATGTGGTGGTACCAACATGGGGGAGCAATGGCCATGGGAAGCATTAGAGGCCACCCCTGAAATTTATAACATGTTTAATGCTGGAAACGTGACAGCTCGAACTCGCTTCTCAGGAGCTGTGTGGACTTTGGCTACTAACCTGGTTGGGAGGAACTGTTTCTTCAGACACCATACTGTGCCGGTAGGACATCTAATCTGTTTGGGATATTGGGATCAGGACTATGTAAAATGGGTCTCTCCTGGTCAAAGCCCAGAGCCCACTGAATTTGAGGGAACTCTGCTCCCCTATCTTAAAGGCTCTCAATATATTGTCTGATACTATTGATAAGATTCGAAGAGCAGTATATTAGAATAGGTTGGCCCTAGATTACATCTTGGCAAAGGAAGGAGGTGTTTGTGGAAAGTTCAACCTTTCCAATTGTTGTTTGCCAATTGATGAGACAGGAAAAGCCATTAAGCAGTTGACCACTGAAATGAGGCAACTTACCCATAATGCTGACCTAGAATGGAAAGGTTTTGACTTTACCCAAGTGTTTACATCTTGGTTTCCCAAGCTGCCTGGTTTGCAAGCCATCGTGGCCCTCGTGGGAATCATTGCCCTTGGTTGTCTAATTCTACCTTGTATTTTACCTATTGTTACTCGCACCATTTTCAAGAGCCTCTCTATGCTCGTTGAGAAAAGAGCCATAGCCCAGGTCATGGCCCTTGTAGAGGAAGGGGAATATGCTACCTTATGTTATCCTCCAAGGTATGAAACTCCTCAATAATCTTGTGATTTTAGTGAAGTTTCAAGGGGAGGAAATGAGGTGGGCAGGAAATAGTTCAATATATCTATATCTTAATAGGAATGCTTGTTGCTGATAATAGTTAATAGATAATATTAAGCTTGGCTGTGAAATGTAACCTAAATCATATAACCTGTGTGTCATAATTATAGAGATGTGTTCATGCTATGTAGAAACCATTTTACAAGAAGTGTCAGTGTCAACTAAAAGTCACAGATGTTGTAAGATAGCACCCGTGCAGAAAGGTGTGGTAAGACAACCGTTTGTGTGAACTTCTCCTTTTTCCTTGTGTAGCCTCAAGATATAAACTTCTCTGTTTTAGTGTGTTAAAGGTGGATAAGAAGTCATCTATTAGGTTAAGCGTGGGCGGCAAGCTGTATAAAAGTGACACCCTCAGAGTAACTCAGGGTTCAGAATTTGTCATGCTAATACTCTGAACCATCGTGCACGAATAAAAACCTGTTTTCTCCAACCCTTCGTTGTCTTGTCTTCTGATGTAAGTATCGTGGTTTTTCCCACAACAGGGGGATGTTTCCAAAAAACGTGGAACAAGTGTTAGGAAGGAAGGTGTAATGCAGTGTTTCCCAAACTTGACAATTTTAAGGCATGAGGACTTCAACTCCCAGAATTCCTCAGCCAAGCACGCCAAATTCCTCATCCAAGGGCCAAGTTGGAAAACCCCTGTTCTAGGTACATTTGGGGTCAGTGAAATGTTCTTAAGCTTACCGTTTCCTGATGCACAGCTGCAGTTTTTGTCAGTTTGGCAAGGCAGTCACCAAAACACAAGACAGGCCTTGCGGGTGATTCAACCAGTTCTCACGGCTCGTTTCTAGGCAGTTTCGATCCCTTCCTGGCTGACTTGGGTGTTGAAAGGTCACTTGAGAACGTTTCCTAGAGACGGGGATTCCTTTCCTAAAGAAAGGATGCTGCCTCCGGGCGCTGCAGTCTGGCGGATTTCAGAGGGGCTTTCCCTCTTCCAAGGATTCCCTCGTTAAGGTCGAAGGCCAACAAGGCCAGCCTGAGTCACCCGGCAGAAAAGCAAACTGACCCAATTGTGGCCAGCTCTGGGGAAAGGGCCACTTTTCCTCTTTGCTCCCTCCCCAAAAGAACCAGGCTACACCCCTCCCTACAACACTGGGTGGTGTGTGGGTTTTGTGTGGATTTGGGTAGGAACTGTGCCAGAAGGCAGGAAACACGGATCCTCTTCTCTCCTGTGGAACCCCCCAAAAGGTATTCCTGTGCCCTAAAAGACCCGGGCTGGCTGGGGGGGAGGGGAGAATCACTGGGATTCCTGGCTTCCCTCCAGCCCATGTCACAGGAGTAGCTGGTCCCCCCTCCTCCTCCTCCTTCAACCGAGGGAGGGTGGCAGGCAGGGTCTGGCGGCTGCAGGTGCCCAAGGGCAGCACCAGAGAGGAACATCCCGGCCTCCATGTCCTGCAGTGCAGTGGCCTCGTGGCAGCCCTGCCTGCCTCAAACTGTCTTTCTCCTTTCCTGCTGCCTCTGCTGTGACCGAACAGCCCCAGAAAAAGGCAAAACCTCAACGAGCGGGGCCCAGATCACTTGCAGAAGCAGCGGGAGAACGCTAAGAGGCTCACCAGGCATCAGAAGCGGCACCCGTCGGCCTGCTGGGCAGGGCTCCACCGGGACCACCCAGCTAAGCCCAGAGAACCGGCCCGGCTGTGGTCCACCACCCCACCTGCTCTTTTTGAGCGTTGTTGTTATCCATTGACGGACAGGAGTTGCCAAGAAGTATTTGCAGCTCAAGGTTGCAGCTGGGAGCTCTCTGCTTTCTCCCGGACGTCTCACGGGCCAAACTAGGTAACACCGTCAAGGCTAGTAGGGAGAGGGGTTGAGTCTACTGCAGGGCTAGGCAACCTTGGCTCTTTTATGACTCGTGGACTGTTTACTGTTGGCTTCTTCAGCAGATCCGGCAGTTCCTTGATCTGGGGTATTGTTTACTTATGATTGTTGGCCTGTTGTTAATCTCGGGAGTTAATCTCGGCTCATCTGTGTATTGCTTGCTGGTGGTGGGGGAGGTGCTTCCACGTGTTTATCCAAGCAAGTTTAAACTGGGTTACTGATGAAACCTGCCTTTCCTTCACCTTGGGGAGGGGCCCTTACTGCTCCAGGCCTCTCCTACGTGCCCCTGGGAGGGGAGGGGAAGGAAGCAGCTGGCCTGGCAGTTCTCCTGGGGGGGGGGAGGAGGAGGAGGCATCAGGGCCTTCACCGCTCTCTTAGCTGCAGGACCGCGCATGGCACCTTCCCAGCAGCGTGCAGAGGCGAGAGCGAGGCTCCCTATCTGGGCTGCGTCCACTGGCACGTGGCGCCCACCCGGGACCCACGCAGCCGCCACTACGTGCCAGCCCGGCTCTATCTGGACATCTCCTTCCCGCCCTACGGCAGCGGCTGTACCTACGCGCTCTCCACCCCGGCCGCCAGCACCATGCTGGCTGCCACCCGCCACCTACCGCTGGTGCCTGTGGAGGACGCCTTCGTGGGCCTCTGTGCCCACCGCGCTGGCATCACCCCGTGCCACCTGGCCCGCCTGGCCAGCTCTGACCGCTTCCCGCCTGATGCCTGCTGCTACCAGGAGGTGCTCTTCAGCGCGCACGTGACGGCTGCCCAGATGCTGGCTGTGGCTGCCACCCCCGAGCCCTCCTGCACCACCTGACAGCGCCTGCTGGGCCTGGCCCGCTGCAAACTGCTGTCCTGGCTGTCCTCAGTGGCCGAGGAGTGGGATGACCCATGAGCCCCCTCCCCCGGGCGGCCTTGGATGGACTCCCCTCTCCGGACTGCAGGACAAGGCGCCCCCCTCTGGCCGCTGCAGAACTCAGCCAAGGGGCAAAGCAAAGGCCAAGCGTGGACAACCCTGCCTCCCTATCGGTCTTTGGGGCTGCTGGCTGAGTGCGCTGCCGTCCTCTCTTGTGCAACCGGGAGGAGGCGGGTGGAGTCTCAATGGGCTTGGGGAGCCCGTGGGGCAGGACTCTTGGGGGGGAAGAGAGAATGTCTCATGCCAAGCCAGAACACGGGTCAGTTGTGAAGGCAGAAACTCTGGCTGGGTCTGTAGGACACGGAAGGAGCCTTGCAGTTGCCCAGATCCACCTCTGCACATTGGTGGACATGTTTGTGGCGCTGTGCACCCGCCATGCTGGCATTGCCCCAAGCCATGTGGACCATTTTTCCGGGGCTTCTCACTACCAGCTGGACACCTGCTCTTCAGTGTGCACAAAGTGGCGCCTGCCGAAATACTGGCCATGTGGGAGGCAGCTGAGCACCTGCACGCCGCCTGGCAGCGCTACTTTGGCCTGGCCCGCTGCAAGGTACTGGCCTGGCTAGCCATGGAGGATAAACCGTGACTCTGTCCACCTTCCCATCCACGTCTTTGGACAAGCAAAGGGAGTGACTGACTCACAGAAGCACTGCCGGGAACTCCGTCTAAGACTGTGCGGCTGCCTGCCTGGCAGTTGAGCTTCCCTCTTGGGACTGTGGGTCAAGGCGCTAGCAGCTGTGGAAGTGCCAGGCTGCCCTTGTTGACTGTCTGGCCAACGTGGGCCTTACGCTGAAAAGCTGAAGGGCAAAGGGTCCTGCTTGGACAGATTGCCTGCCCGGTTTGTGTTTTTTAGGGGTCGTTCATCCTTGATTGGGGTGCCATCCTCTCTTTGGCAACGGGGGGCCAAAGTGGACTTTTCACAGCATCAGCCGCAAGAGAGAGGTTGCCCCACAGAATGCGTGTGGGGTCCGAGAGGCCAGATGTACACAAATGAGTGGCTGGGTCGGAGCAGAAGAATTCACACTGGCTTAAGTGGACACGGGGACAACTCGGAGAGAACGCTGGGCGCTTGCACACATACGCACACCCACATACGCCATTCCGAGTTCGGGGACTTTTATCCCCATCTGTGCTGGGAAGCTGCCAGTCACGCCCAGGCTTGGGGAGAACGATTTCTCTTTTGGGGTGCTGCGTGCGCAAACACACACACACACACACACACACACACACATACACACACCATTCTGAACTTGAGGCCTTTGCTAAACTGTTCTCCTTCCTCGTCTTACTTATCAAGCTGGAGGATTCCCTTTGGAGCACAGATTTTCAATTCCACAAACGGAGACACTTTGGGACTTTCGTTGTTCATTTCCCCCTTCGGGGTTTCTTTTGCAGTACCTCCCTTCACAAACTTCCTCCAGAATTAACTTTTCATGCCCTGTGACGGCTCTGGGCCTCTCCCTGCCCGTCCGTGATCTGCGTCTTACTGGCAACTTGTGGTGCCAGGATGATGCAAGTCCCCAAGATTGGAATGGGGTGTGTGTGTGAGGGTGAGGTTACCGCGTTGGGTAACACCTTCAGCGGAGTTTTAGGGGATGTCAGTGTCGGAGTTCCCCTCCTTCGTGTGGTCAACAGGTCTTGCGATAGGGAGGTCATGTCAGGTGAGGGTCACATCGGGTGCTGAGTTGTCCCCAGGTCCAGTTAGCCCAGTGGTTCTCAACCTTCCTAATGCCGCGACCCTTTAATACAGTTCCTCATGTTGTGGTGACCCCCAACCATAAAAGTATTTTCGTTGCTACTTCATAACTGTAATTTTGCTACTGTTATGTATCGCAATGTAAATATCTGATATGCAGGATCAGACTCTAGATGCCAGAAGATAGAACCATCCAACAAAAGGAATTCCACAACTACAGGTAGTCCTCAACTTACGACCACGACTAAACCCAACGTTTCTGTTGCTGAGCAAGGCAGTTGTTAAGTGAGTTGCACCCATTTTATGACCTTTCTTGCTGCAGTTGTCAAGTCAATCACTGCAATTATTAAGTTAGGAACACAGTTGTTAAATGACTTCCCATTGACTTTGCTTGTCAAAAGATTGCTAAAAATAATCACGTGACCCTGGGACACTGCAACCGTCATAAATACAGGCCAGTTGCCAAGCATCCACATTTTGATCACATGACCAATTGAAGGAAAAGCAGCAAGAGAATGGAAGAAAGGAAAAGGGTTATAAATAAAAAATCAGAACCCCTGAAACATTTTGTGGAGGAAGCGAGGGGTTACGTGACTACTTTTTCATGGAAGTTTCCCAAAACAGAAGGATACGACTTTACAGCTGTCCCAGATTCCAGCTATTTCATCCCCTCTTTCCAACATTTTCGCCTTCCACTGAGCGTACTTGATTCTCATCTAAATGTTTTCTGACAAGTCCCTCTCTCAATGCGTTTCCTTTTTCCTAACAATTTCTGGCAGTGGAGTATACACTTCCCCAATCCGAGCCTTGCCTTTGGATCCCGACCAGGCGGGAGGCAAAATAAAAGGAAGCCGTTTAAAGGCGGGAGGAGGGAAAATCCCGAGGTTGGTTTGCTTCCGATTCACGACGAAAAAGGGAAAAAGGCGAAGGAAAGCTCGTTGGCTGGCTTTCTCGCCCGCGCCAACTCCTTTCTCTTCACTTACAGCCGGGCGATTCTGAGTTTAAGCGCAGCTCCTAGCAACCCTGAGGAAAATCCCACGGATGGGGGTGGGGAGACTCAATTAAGGTGCTTGCAATCCCCCCACGCAAGGGCAGAGACCAACCCGTTTTGTTTTGTTTTGTTTTGTTTAAAAAAGCTAAGATTAAAAAAAACATACTATCCAAAAGCGCTATTTAAAAAAGCCATTGCACTGAATGCATCAAGGCAAGCTGGCGGAAAGAAGAGATGATCGCCGGGGCTTTTATTCACAGACACCAGATTTTTTTTTTCCCGAGATCATAAAATGTCCATTCCTCCCTCCAAGAGGGAGGGAATCACAATGCAAAAGGAACCCTCCCCCTGGCAAAGCCCTCCGGTGTGCTGATTCCACAGCTAACAACCCTCCCTCCCTCCTCCTCCTCCCTCACCCCCCTTCAACTCCCCGCCAGCCCGTCTCCCCTCTTCCACACAGGCGCTAGCGACTCCGCCGGCTTTACAGATTCCCTTATTAGGAGAAGCTGACAGCATAATAATAATAATAGTAGTAGTAGTAAAGTTGGAAGGGACCTTGGAGGTCATCTAGTCCAACCCCCTGCTTGGGCAGGAAACCCTACACCATTTCGGACAAATGGCTGTCCAGTCTCTTCTTAAAAACTTCCAGTGTTGGAGCATTTACTGCTTCTGGAGGCAGGTTGTTCCACTGGTTAATTGTTCTCACTGTCAGGAAGTTTCTCCTTAGTTCCAGGTTGCTTCGCTCCTTGATGAGTTTCCATCCGTTGCTTCTTGTCCTGTCTTTAGGCGCCTTGGAAAATAGCTTAATTCCCTCTTCTTTATGGCAGCCCCTGAGATATTGGAATACTGCTATCATGTCCCCCCTCGTCCTTCTCTTCGTTTAACTAGACATACCCAATTCTAGCAACCGTTCCTTATATGTTTTAGCCTCCAGTCCTCTAATCATCTTTGTTGCTCTTCTCTGTACTGTTTCTAGAGTCTCAACATCTTTTTTACATCGTGGTGACCAAAACTGGATGCAGTATTCCAAGTATGGCCTTACCAAGGCATTGAAGAGTGGTATTAATACTTCACGTGATCTTGATTCTATCCCTCTCTTAATGCAGCCTAGCACTGTGTTGGCCTTTTTGGCAGCTGCAGCACACTGCTGGCTCATATTTAAGTGATTGTCTACTAGGACTCCGAGGTCCCTCTCACAGTTACTACTATTGAGCATGGTGCCACCTATGCTGTACTTGTGCATTTGGTTTTTCTTGCCTAAATGTAGAACCTTGCTTTTTTCACCATTGAATTTCATTTTGTTAGTTAGTGCCCAGTGTTCAAGTCTGTCCAGATCCTTCTGTATCTTAAGCCTGTCTTCTGGAGTGTTGGCTATTCCTGCCAGCTTGGTGTCGTCTGCAAATTTGGTGAGTTCCCCATCTATCCCTTCATCCAAATCATTGATGAAGATGTTGAAGAGTACTGGGCCCAGAACAGAGCCCTGGGGCACCCCACTACACACTTCCCTCCATATAGATGCAGTTCCATTGAGGACCACTCGCTGAGTACGGCCGGTCAGCCAGCTACGGATCCATCTGGTGGTGGTTCTGTCTACCCCACATTTTTCTATCTTGTCAAGTAGTAGGTTGTGATCTACTTTATCAAATGCCTTACTGAAGTCCAAGTAAATTATGTCCACAGCATTCCTCTGATCCACTAATTTTGTCACTTGGTCAAAGAATGCAATAAGATTTGTCTGGCATGATCTATTTTTGACAAGCCCATGTTGGCTTTTAGTAATGACTTTGTTTGCCTCTAGGTGTTCGTTGATTCGTTGTTTGATTATCTTTTCCAGGATCTTCCCAGGTATTGAGGTCAGGCTGATAGGTCTGTAATTTCCTGGATCCATTTTTTTTCCTTTTTTGAGGATGGGAACTACATCAGCTCTTTTCCAGTCCTCTGGTAGTTCCCCTGTGTTCCAGGATCTTTGAAAAATATAGTTCAGTGGCTCCGATATCACATCTGCCAGTTCCTTGAGAACTCTGGGGTGTAATCCATCTGGTCCTGGCGATTTGAACTCATCTAGGCTGGACAGGTGCTCACTAACCATTTTCTTGCCTATCTTAATTTGTGTTTCTGTTTTGTTTTTTATGGCACTATTTTTGATAGGTTGGTCTGTTTTTTCCCTTTGTGTAAAGACAGATGCAAAAAATGAGTTAAATAGTTCTGCTTTCTCCCTGTTGCTTGTCACCTTCTTGCCACTTCCACCCACTAATGGACCAATCGTTTCCTTCACTTTTTTCTTGTTTTTTACATGTTGAAAGAAGCTTTTTTTGTTATTTTTGACTTTGGTCGCAAGCCTTAGTTCATTTTGAGCCTTGGCTTTCTTCACTTCATCTTTGCAGGCTCGGGCTATTTGCTGATATTCTGACTTAGTTATGTTCCCCTCTTTCCACTTTCTATACTTGTCCTTTTTATCTTTCAATTTGTCAGAGAGTTCTTTATGCAGCCATGCTGGTTTCTTTTGAGAGCTGTTGTTTTTCCTCTTTGTTGGTATTGTGCTAGACTGTGCTTTTATTATCTCATTTTTCAAAATTTCCCAAGCTTCTTGAGTTGTTTTCCCCTTGAGGATTCTCATCCATGGAATCCTTCCCAAGCCCTCTCTAAGTTTATTGAAATTAGCTCTCTTGAAGTCCAAGACTCTAGTTTGACTGTGTTCTATTGCTTGTGCTTCTATAATGTTGAATTCTAATATTGCATGATCACTTCCTCCCAGGGTTCCTATGGCTTCAACACCATCTATCATTTCATCTCTGTTAGTGAGAATTAGATCCAAAATGGCTAATCCCCTAGTTCCCTTCTCTACTTTTTGGGAGACAAAGTTGTCTGCTAGGTTTGCCAGGAACCTGTTTGATCTTCCACTTGGTGCGGAGTTTGTCTCCCAGTTGATGTCAGGGTAGTTAAAGTCCCCCATTACTATTGTGATGTGCTTCCTACATACCTTAGTTAGCTGACTAGCAAAAAGTTCATCTATTTCCTCTGTTTGGTTGGGTGGTCTGTAGTATACACCTATGGCAATGTCATTTCCCCCCCCTTTTATATTGACCCAAATGCATTCAAGACAGTTTTTATCATTGTTGTACTCTATTTCTGTGGAGATGTAGTTATTTCTTATATAGAGAGCAACTCCACCTCCTCTTTTATTTGGTCTGTTTCTTTTAAATAATTTAAATCCCTCTAGCTGTGTGTTCCATGTGTGAGTTTCATCCCACCATGTTTCCGTAATGGCAACAATATCGTATCTGCCCTCATTAACCTGAATTTCTAGTTCACCCTGTTTGCTGTTCATACTCTGTGCATTGGTGTATAAACATTTGAGTCCTTTGTGGGTGGCCCTGTGTTTCCTTTCTACATAACCTGTGTGGTGTCTGAGTTCCCCTATTGTCTTACCACCTATTTGGTTAGTGCACTTTATGTGGCACTCGCTATTAGAGGCTTCATTTTGCTTGATAGCAAGGTTGGTATTCTTGTCCACACACACATCTATGCTACATGCACTGATAGCCCTATAGTTTTTAAATTGCCGGGGACAGGGTTGTTCCGTATCAATTAACTCCCTGTCCCCGCTGTTTAGTTTAAATTTCCCTCCAGAAAATCTGTGAATTTATAGCCGAGTAACTCAGTCCCTTTTTTTGATGGATGCAAACCATCTCTTTTGTACATCTTTTGATTGGACCAGCTACTGACATCGTGACTAATATATCCAAAGCCTTCCCCTTTACACCACTCCTTTAGCCACATATTGAATTGTGCTATGCGCTGGCCTTTTCCGTTTTGCTCCTTATACACTGGTAAAACCTCTGAGAAAGTAAGCCTACAGCCTATTCTGCTAAGTTCCTTCCCCAAGCTCTGGAAATCATTCTGCACAGAGAGTACATCTTTTTGGGACAGATCATTAGTGCCAAGATGTACAATAGCCTCCACATCACAGTCCTTGCTGCCATTCTTGATTATTTTAGAAATACGCTTCTTGTCCCTACTGGCAGTAGCACCTGGAAGACACCTGACCTCTTTCAAAGCCTCTGTGTCCTTTCCTAAATTTACATCCCTTATAATTGAATCACCTACCAGAAGGTAGCTTCTCTTTTTGGGAGCCTTTCTATTCTTGCATGACTGATGTGCAATACCTGATTCACACTTCTCCCTGTCAAAATCTAGTTCTTCATCTCGGACCACAATCCCCCGCTTATTTGAGTTGTCTTGACAAATACCTTTACCTGTCTCCTTAATGTCCCTATTAAGGTCAGCAAGGGCACTGTAGCTGTTGTGCAGGGGCACAGCGAAAGCTTTGTGTTTATGGTTCACAGCTCTCACCCTGCCAGATCCTACGGTTGTCCACACTGCCCTTTTCCTGCAGGATCTTTGTGGTAAAGGGGGCTGATAGCAGGGAGGCTTACTAGAGTAGAGGGGCTGAACTGGACACCTAGTTTCTGCCCGAAGAGCACGGATTACAGACCCTAGGTAAATGATCTGTCCTTGTAGGCTAGTGATTTGTTTACAGATAGGACAGTTTCCAATCAGGGCCTCGCTACTTTCCTGGTGGATTCTCCCAAAACTTACAGTTTAAGCAGCAGCTGGTGGAGTGTAGCACGTTCCAGCAGCCTGACCAGAATTGAAATGGGGTTTAAATAGAGTATAGTACACTATAAATATAATGGAGATCCAATCAGGGCCTCGCTACTTTCCTGGTGGGGTCTGAGGGTTTCCCGCTCAGATGGATAGGCAAAAGTGTCCCAAGCAAAAACCCCACCCCGTAGTTCATCCGGTCAGTTCAAACGGCCCAATCCCCAGGTGTTAGGTTCCTTGCACCTTCTCTGGGATGCCAGAGATAAAGGAGTTGCCCCCCCCCCCCCCGAGGTTGCATGCCATTCTTCCCCTCCCTTTTGCTAGCTGACAGTAAGGGATGGGAAGGTTCACAGAGAAATAACGCAGGAAAGCAAAGTGTGACATTTTAGAGGCAATAACCCTCAAGCACTCCCCCTGCCCCCCCCCCCCCCGCCTAGGAGTATGGCAGAGCCCAGGATGAGAAGAGAGTGGGAATTTGTTGATATGAGTTCTGACAAGCAGAGCTGGCTGAGGAATTCTGGGAGCTGAAGTCCACAAGTCTTAAAGTGGTCAAGGTTGCACACCCCTGCCCCAGACAGCCAAGCATTTGGGCAGGGCATCCCTCCCCACCAGAAGGGGCTGGGCACTAAGGGAAGGGAGGGTGGGCAGCCAGCACCCTCCTTATTTATAGGAGCCGAATGCCAAAAATCAGGAGAAATCTCAAACACTCTTGTGAGTGTTGGCCGCATATATTAAACCAGGGGTAGGCAACTGAAGGAAATAAAAGTTATTCTTTTAATAATTGTAGAAATGTAATGCCATTATATGAAACTGTCTCTTTAGTACAAATGTAACACTGTAACACAAATGTAACAATGCAATGTCAATATATGACCAAATGTTTACTATTTCCTGCCTAAAAATCCTCCGGACACCGGGAACTTACATCAAAGAGGGGGATTTTGACCCAAGGTGAGAATTACAAATAAACAAGATAACAGCAGATGGACAGAAGAGGTCAGGTTAACAAAGTACAACTTCAGAGTACCTCTATAAAGATGAAAGAGCTGCTTAGATGTGACATGCATTGTCGGGGTATAAAATGCAGATCTTGAAACCAGGCCAGTGTGCTCCTGGAATCCAATCCATAGGGAAGGATCCAGGGGGCCACGTTTGCAAATGGTCCTCTCTTCTATTCTTTTTCTTTTCTCTTTTATTCTGTTTATGTTATTCTCCAATAAACTTTTGTTTTGTTAACCAGACTTGTCTTTGTATTGTGAGTATCAAAATTTGGGGGTTTTGCATCTCACAATCTTGGTGGAGAATGCGGGCATTAAGAGCTTCTAGGGGACACTGTTCTCAGTAAAATCAGGAGCGCGCCTGTTGATTTCAACTGCCTGGGGTTATCTGAGATCTAGTTTCCCTTTGCAGGCTCTGAGCCAAACTAAATTGACAACTCTGGTTTACAAAAATCAAAGGACAGGAAATAGGAAGAAAGTCAACAACTGAAGCCCAGACCGGGTAACCCAGTGCACTGGCCCAGGTAAGGAACTTTTGCCCCGAAGGAGGGAAGCATGCAATTGTACCTGGGTGGTCAGGAGAGTGATTGTGGGAGGGTTTCTGCGATAAGGGCTGTGTGAGTGTGATGGGCTGTGTTCTGGGAAGACTGGTAAGTCCAGAGGAGTGTAGACCTGAAAGGTTGAGATCTCTTACTCCCGCAAGGGGGAAGGCCAGCGTGAAGGGAAGCAAACTGGTGTTAAGAGTTTTGAGTGGCCGTCAAATCGAGAACCTCAGGGAACCATAATCAGGGAAACTCTCAAGAAGATGGGTTGTTGTTGTAAGTCATTGTTGTAAACCTAAAGAAAAAAAAACTGTAAAATTGAGTAGCTTCAAACAGGAAAACCCATCTTGCTAGCAGCAGATGCCTTGTGTCTGTGAATGGGTTTCCTAGGCTCTGCCCATGTGGAGTAGGGTAGGAAAGGAAGTTTTGGGAAATAAGGGGAATGAAAGAAATGTGTGTTTGTCTCTGTGTGTGAGTGAGAAGGCCTTTTTCCCAATCAGTTTTCTGTTCTCTTTTCCTTGTCTTGGTACGTATATGTGTTTCAGAGTCTTTGTGTGTGAAGTAAATATGACTGTTAATTGTTTCTAATCCCAAGAGAAAAGAAGATACCAAAAGAAACATCCTCACTCTGTTTGTCTGGCCATCAAACAAAGTGAAGAAAGATGTGTTTGTTTATTTTTTTCCTCTCAAGAACAGCCCAAAGTTACCTGCTCAGGCAGGAAATCCTATACCATTTTCTTGCCTATTCTGCTCTCTCCCTTTTGCAAATGTTAAGTGTGTTAATGCCTTTTCAAACTCTATCTGCAGACACAACCCCTTTCCCCCCCCCTGCTTTTTCTGGCTGTGTTGCTTTGAGAGGGAGAGAGAGAGAGAAAGGAGAAGGGGTTTTTTTTGATCTTTTAAACTTTTTCTCTGCTTAGAATTCAGGTTTGAGAAAGGTGGGGTGGCTGTGAAAATTTAATGCCCACTTTTGCAATTTTTTCTATTCAAAAGAGCGGTCAGTAATTGTTGGACAACTTTTTTTTGGAAATTTTTGAGTTTAAATTGTTTAATATCAGCCAAAAGAAATGACTCTAGATTGTTTTGCTTAGATTTATAAGTGTTTTCCCTATTTAATGGAAATTTGTTTCCATCTGAATGGAATTTGATTAAATTGGAATTTGACTAACTTAATATTAAAAGCAATACTAGAGTTTGGAAAAAAAAACTATTTCAGTAACTCAGAATATCTTATTAAACTTGTTTATTTTTTGTGAAGTTAAAACAAAGAAGTTGAGAAAAAAATTGGGATTATAAATAGCTATGCTGTTTTGATTAAAGATTTGTATGCAAAACTGTTAGAAAAAGAGCTCGTGTTAACCTTGTACGCCGCCCTGAGTCCTTTGGGATTGGGCGGCATATAAATATTTGTAAATAAATAAATAAATAAAATAAACAAATGCAAACAGGGTTTGGTGAGCTCTCCTTTGTTGGCTCTTCGCTTAGGTAATTTATTTATAAACAAGGACAAAGGTTGGAAGAGGTTTTGACCCAGAAGTGGGGGGGGGGCAGCCAGTGGCATTTTTATCTAAAATTGACATTTGGGGACATCTTGGTGGTTAGCATTTCTTATCAAGTGTGGACAATTTTAATCAGGAAGCCTAAAGGAGGTATACACTTGTTCATAACAAAGGAGTTGGGAAAAGAAAAGAACAAGAAAAAGAGAGTCACATAATGAAGATACGATAGTAGATGGGGAAGGAGGGATTACCAAGAATTGAATTAAAAGATAAAATAATTAGAAAACATGTACTCAAACTGTCCAGATGTTTTTCTCTCCTGCGACAGAAAGGTATTCTTGCCCAAACTCCACCCTTGGACTTTGCAGTACACCAATACAAAGCAGGACAGTGGGTGTACTAACTCCAACCTGGGAAGGACTTTACATCGACTTGTTAACCGCTGAGACAGCTATCCGGACAGCTGAAAAAGGTTGGACCCATTACTCCCGAGTAAAAGGGCCCGTGCCAGCCCCCGAGGAGTGGAAGGTGGAATCTCACCAAGGAGATCCACTGAAGCTAAAGTTCCGAAGGACTTCATGGACTAATAGTCAATCTTCCTGACAGAAAGGGGGGTAATAGAGGAAAAAGAACTAAACTTTATATTTCTTTTTCTATCTAGAACCAAAGGAAAACCAAGACCTCCCGCATGTGCTGATTTTGTGGGTATCTTTGTGGGTGTTGTTGCTGCTCTCACTGTATTAATTGTGTTCAGTGCACAGGGTATGAGATAGAGTGTGATATTAAGGCTTAGAAGATGTATTGGAACATTACAAGGTGGTATGTCTGGGGGAGGGGTTTTCTTATTATACTCTTAAAACCTGTCCAACCATTAGAGTCATGTAAGTAATGTGTAAAAATGACAAAGGGAGAAGGAGAAAATATACACTGACTCCAAGTATGTTTATGGAGTCTTGAATACTGGTGGAAGAAGAAAAGAAAGAAGTTATGCTAGAGTGGCAGAAGGGAAGGAAGGAATGAATAATAAAGAAACAGGAAAGTTGTTTTAAGTTGGTTTGCACAGACTTGTGAATTGCATGCATTAAGCAGGGAGACTGCCATTAACGTGGTCAGCCCAAACGTGTGAATTGTATGCCTTAACACAAGCCTTAGAATGTTGAAGGAAGAAGAATGTACTAAAGATGGGAGGTGGATGTTGCAAGATGGGAGAGGGATGTTGAAAAGAAAAAAGAAAAAAACAACAACAATGGCTAGAACACAGAAGCAGCCACTGAAGGGGGGTCGCAAGGGATGATTAATATTTTCTAAAACAGGATGGTTGTATTTATACTTTAGTTAAACAAATATGTGAAAAAATTCAAGTTAAAAAAAAAGCTTTACAACATTTAGTGGTGAGGCCATGTCAATATAGGCCTCAACTGGAAAGTTGTTTTTGTTTCTTTGAAATGGGAGGCTTTTGTTACATGAAAGTTCAAGAATGTCAATGAAGAAGAGAAGAAAGTTACTCAGTATTTGCATAATATGGTGCAGGTTTTGTCTTCTATCTCTGTCCAGGCCCAGGCTGCCTTACCACCTGTCTCTGGCCATTCTTCCTGGAGAGTGGATTTAGGTGAAAAGAACTGTCACCTAGAAATACCATTCCTGAGTGGTCTCAACCATGCCAAGTCCTCCTGATTTAAGGAATCAAAGCGTGAGTCCATGGAAAGCCCCATCATATCCTCTCCAGTGAAAAACTCCGCAGCTGGACGGCCTGAAAATGAAATTTCAACCTGCCTCACCTGTTGAATTGTTTCCATCTAAGTGGGAGAAAAACTTCAGTGGATTGGACGTGTTCCTAGAACCTGGACTATGTGTTGAAAAGTTTTTCTTCTGCTACTGTTGTTTCCTTAGTACCTTCTTTGGTAGAAGGAAGGACCATGGGTCCAATACTTTAAGGAATATTGGGAAAGAAGACTCAGAATATCAAAACTTGCTTGCACAGGAATCTAAAGAAAATATAGGAAGTTATGAACTGTTAAAAGTATAAAAGAATAAATTCAGGTGGAAGAGAAAAAGGGAGGATTGAAGGAAATAAAAGTTATTCTTTTAATAATTGTAGAAATGTAATGCCATTATATGAAACTGTCTCTTTAGTACAAATGTAACACTGTAACACAAATGTAACAATGCAATGCCAATATATGACCAAATGTTTATTATTTCCTGCCTAAAAATCCTCCGGACACAGGAACTTACATCGAAGAGGGGGATTTTGACCCAAGGTGAGAATTACAAATAAACAAGATAACAGCAGATGGACAGAAGAGGTCAGGTTAACAAAGTACAACTTCAGAGTACATCTATAAAGATGAAAGAGCTGCTTAAATGTGACATGCATTGTAGGGGTATAAAATGCAGATCCAGGCCAGTGTGCTCCTGGAATCCAATCCATAGGGAAGGATCCAGGGGGCCGCGTTTGCAAATGCTCCTCTCTTCTATTCTTTTTCTTTTCTCTTTTATTCTGTTTATGTTATTCTCCAATAAACCTTTGTTTTGTTAACCAGACTTGTCTTTGTATTGTGAGTATCAAATTTGGGGTTTTTACATCTCACACAACCTTGGCTCCTTTATGACTCGTGGACTTCAACTCCCAGAATTCCTGGGCCTGCGTGGCTCAGCTTGGAAGCCTCTCCCTGTCCCCTCAGCATGGCTGGCTCAGGAATTCTGGGAGTTGAAGCCCACCGGTCATAAAAGGGCCAAGGTTGCCTACCCCTGGTGTAGGGTCTTCTGCTTGGACGGGGGTGGGGAATATTAAACCGAGTAAGAGGAGGAACCAAAAAGCATTGAAAAAGAGAAAAGATCCATTTAGTATCACGTATGGAATTCTTTCCACTCTTAACGACCATTTGAACCAAAGGGCCCCGTTTTTCATTTCAGACCATAAGGAGATTCCAAACACGCAGATGCCTTGAATCCATTTGCTACCATCAGGAGAAAAAATGTTTAGTCGAGTTATAGGCTCCATAACATCAAAGCCTTTGAGGAAATATCAAATTCTGTATTTTAGGGGTCCGAGTTATATATCTGCACTGTGAACCTGTGTGTTTTTATTTTATTTTTTTTTTACAACGGAGGTAGTTTGGACCAGAAGTGAAAGTGCCAGGCTGGAACTGAGAGACTTTGGATTCTATTCCCTCCTTGGGCATATAAACTGACTCGGGGGCTTTGGGACATTCACACACACACACTCTCTCTCTCTTTCTGAGCCCAGCCCACCTCACAAGGTTGTTGTGGGAAAACAAGAGGAGAAAGGAGTGTTGGGTGTGTTTACTGCCTTATTTATAAGGTTAAACATTAGTAAATCGATTTGTGTGGCTTCAACATGAATGGGAAGGTTCTAGAAAAGTTTAAAATTTTCTACTCAGCAACAGGCTCATTGAGCATGTGCGGGAAAACCTGAGTACGTGCCTGGAACTAGGTATGGAATGGAATCTCCACATGTAGAAAACAAAAGAATACCCATATATGGTAAAGTAGGAGGTAAAGTAGGATAATTGTGTCGTCTGATAGGTTTGTGACCTGCCACGTCAGGAATAGCTGACGTAGGTATAGGAGGAGATAGGGAGGGGTATAACTGCTGTTAGCTTCTGTAGGAGGTGTGGCTTTTCCCTGCAACTCTTGTGAGTGCATGGTTAAAGTTTCACCACGCTTTGCAAACCGTTTTCTTTTACTAAACTCAACTTTGATAATAAAAGAAACTTTATTCTGCTACTCCGAACCTCGTCTCTGAATTTCTTTCAAGGAATTCTACAAACAAATTGGGGGCTCGTCCGGGATCCAATCTGCGCTGGGACTCTGAGGGGTCCTCCTTAGGTGCACCCCTTTCCTTTTGAAAGGAGGGGAACCACCCAGAGGACTGCGGAGCTCTTGGAAAACCCGTAAAATTTTAATAAAGACGAGTATTAGGAGAAGGGTGAATAAAGTGCGGAACAGCCTGAAGACAGACCGGGTAACATCTGCGCGCAGACCCTGGTGAGTACTGGTTTGAAAACACCAGAACACAAGAGTCCAGGGCGGTCGGGATAGAGTGTGTGGATGTGAGAACTGGCAACGGGGCCGGGTGGAAGTCCTTTTGAGGGACCTCGGGGAGGTCTGCAGGACGGAGTGAGTGAGGGGGATATTATTGAATATCCGGAGACGGTGACGTGTGGAACTGGAAGGAGTTGCTGGGAGGGACACAGGCGCACATACTCAAGATAGGCTGAGCACCCATAAAAGAAATGGGGGGCAATACAGGGTCGACCAATCCGGGGAAAAAGTGTGTTAAAAGGATCCGTAAAAACCCCAAACTTAAAATTGACCCGAATGGCCCTTTGGGCAAAATATTGGCTGGATGGGGATCCCCGCCCTATAACCGGGAGATTTTGAGGTTGGGGTTGAATAAAGAAGATATGGTTAATTTATGTTGTTTTGTTTGGTGGGAGGACGATAATGTGGAGTGGCCAAGGAATGGCTCCACAGATTATTTTCAGTGTCACAATTTATATAACTATGTGAAGAAAAAGAAATGTAAAAGTTTAGATAATGAATTAGATTATGCGCTAATTTGGGTGACAGATGATGGTAGCAACAGAACAGCAAGTAATGAAGCAGGAAAAACCTCCTAGAAGAGAGTTTGGGGATAAGAAGAGTCCCTTTGAGACAAGATATAGGGGGGATGAAAGGAACCAGTATGTTAATGGGAGTAGAGGAAGGGGATTTGGAGGATTTCAAGGTGGATACCAGAATAAGGAGACAACATGCTTTGGATGTGGAATGAAGGGCCACTTTTAAAAAAAAAAAAAAAATTTGCCCTAAACGCGCGAGAGAACAGCAAGTTTACTCAGTGTGGGAAGAAGAGGATAGTTTTTACTAGGGGAGGGAAAGGAGCTCATTGGCTTTTGAACAGCTCCTTGAAATAATAATAATAGTTATTGATTTGTCAAGAGAAAGTATGAAATGAAATATCCCTATGTGAAAGTGTTTGTACAAGCAGTTTGAATGGAAGTGAATGTATGGATATGCTGATCCTGTCTCTCTCTCTCTCTCTCTCTGTGTGTGTGTGTGTGTGTGAGTGAGTTTCTCCCCCATTTAAACTGCAGGTTTTATTGTTTTAGCAAGTGTTTGCATGAGAAGAGTTCCATGGAGAATGTGAGAGAATTTATGGCAAATTCATGTGAAGGAGAGAAAGCTATTCCTCCCCCTTCGTTTTCAGCTGGCTGTGTTGCTTTAAGAGTGAGAGACAGAAAGAAAAGGGGGGGGGCTGCTCATTTTAACTTTTTTCTCCGCTTGGAATTCTGCTTTGGGAGGAAGGTGGGGTGGATGTGAAATTTAATACCCATTCTTATAGTAATGAAATATGAGAAGAACTTGAATACACCTATACTGTAGTTTTATTTTTATGTTTTTATGTCTGTGTGCAGGACACACTGATAAAAACATAATATCTAGGAGACCTGAAGGAATGGTAATTCAACCCTTGTTTAAAACGAAGGAGTTGAGAAAATGTTGGGATTATAAATGAGCTATGTTTTAAATAAAGATTTGTATGCAAACAAACTCAAGCAGAGTTGGTGAGCGCTCCTTTGTTGGCTCTTTACTAAGCAATGTGTTTGTAAATACGGATAAAAGAAATGGCTAGGGGAGGGATAATTGATACTTTTCTATGGTTAATATATGGTTGGTTATATGATATGTAGACAAATACATAAAATGCTCTATAACATCTAATGGTGAGGCTATTTCAATGCATTCAAGTTGATTTTAAATCATCTCAAGTAGGAAATTCCACAATATAAAAACTAATGACATGTTTATAAAGAATTAGATACTGGGGCTGTTTTCTGCTTTGTCTTATCTCAGGAAACAAGGCTTGCTGATCTAAACACCCCCTTTGAAATTTCCTGTCCACAAGTTTGAGGTGGGACAGTGGATCCTGATCCGAACGTGAAAGGAGGAAAAACTGCAACCTAAGTGGGAAGGACCATTCCAGTGTTGCTGACCTCTGAAACAGCAGTCTGGACGAAAGAAAAAGGGTTGGACTCATTATACCCGAGTAAAGAAGGCTAATCTTGAGGAGTCGAAAACATGGAAAGCATTTCAAAAAGAACCATTGAAACTGGTGTTAAAAAGACAATGACTTATATCCTTTTGAATATGACAATAGTGGCGATTGGGGGAAATTATGGATTGAGCCGCCTAGAATCTTTGAACCTAATGAAACTTGGATACAAATTCGGTGTTATAATGACAAAGAGAGTGAACACTGCCCCATGAACTGGATCTTTGAACCCAAAAATTTGGTGGTGTGAATCTAAGTTGCAACCAAACTGGCAGCAAG